AGTGGCCTTTCTTCTGTCCTCATTCTCTGTGCCCTCGCTGCAGCCTCTGACATTGGATCCCTCTCTCTCTTCTCTCTAGGTTTTCAGGACAGCTCCCTCTTCCCTGGTTCTCCTCCTACCTCTCTGACCGCCCCTTCTCTGTCCCTTTTGCTGGATGCCCCCCCACCCCCGATTATGCCCTCTAGCCATAGGAGTCCCTCAGGGCTCTGTCCTGGACCCCCTGCTCTTCCACACCAGTTCATGTGGTGATCTCATCGGCTCTCCTGGATTTAATTACCATTTCTGTGCTGATGATTCCCAAATCTGCCTTTTCTGCCCTCTCTGCTGACCTCCAATCTCACATTTCCAACTGCCTTTCAGAGTCCGTAGACATCTTGAGCTAATCATGTTCAAAGCACACCATATTATCTTTTCCCTTCCCTTAATCTGCCCTCCTAACTTTCTTAGTACTCTGAAGGGCAGCACCCTCCAGGCTCACAACCTAGGAGTCATTCTGGGAGCCTCGGTATCTTTACTCCATACTCACCCCCCAGTGTCCGAGCTCCTGCCAAGGCCTGTCCGTTTCATCTTTGCGGCATCTCTCCAGTACGCCCCCTTCTCTCCTCTGCTGCTGCCCTCATCATGGTGCAGACCCTCGTCACCTCACACCTACACTATGCACTAGCTGCTGGGGGGGAGTCTGCCTGCCTCAAGCCCTCCCACTCTAGTTCATCCTTCACTTAGCCAGTAACACGATTTTATCAAGATCAGGTCTGACCCCCCCCCCCCCCCCCCCACCCCCAGTAAATTGCAGGAGCTCGTTATTGCTTCAGGGATCAAATTCTAAAAGCTCTGTCTGGCATTCCAAGCCCTCCCTAACCTGCCCCCTCCTATCTTTCCAGTTTTCTTACAATGTACTCTTGGGACAGGACCTCTTGGCTGTCATTTTCTCTGGCTGCCCCCCCCCCCCCCCCCACTTTCCTAGAACACTCTTCCCTCCTCCTCTCAACCGTTGACCTCCCAGTCCCCCATCTTCCACGGAAGCCTTCCCCAAGCCCTCCTAATCCCCCTGCCTTCCTTCTGTTGTTTGTTTCCTATTTACCCCATGTAGCGTTTGTTTCTATATATTTGTTTGTCTCCCCCATTAGATGGGAGCTCCTTGAGGGCAGGGACTGTCTTTTGTCTCTCTTTGTATCCCCAGTGGTTAGCACTGTGCCTGGCACATAGTAGGTGCTTAATACATGCTTATTGATTGACCTTAACCTCCCAGGACCTCAGTTTCCCCTCCTGTAAAATGAGAGCATCAGACTCAGTGGCCTCTTTGATCCCTTCCAGTCTGTGATCCTCTGACTCTGTGAGCCTCAGTTCTCTTATCTGTAAAATGGAGATGAGAACATCTGCACTACTCACCTCAGGTGGTAACTGGGCTCATTTATGTGAAGTGCTTTGTGAATTTTCAAGCACTGTCACCGTAGCATGGGCCGGAAGGGACTTCAGAAAGCAGCTAGCCCAGCTCTCCCATTTACAGATAAAAAAACTGAGGCCCAGAGAGGGGAAGTCTCTTCTCTGCATGGTCCCCCAAGTTAGGGAACATCGGCAAGTGGGATCTGAACCCAGGCCCTCCCTGCTGCAGAGCCAGCATCTTTTCTGCTGCCCTACTCGGTGGTCGTTATTTGGTGTTCTGCCCCATGGTGCCCCAAGGCCAAATGTTTTGGAAAGGGCTCCTTCAGGGCCTCAGAGAGCCCAGGATCATGGGGGGTGCTGCGGTCTGAGAGATTGAGACCCCTCAGGGACCGGACTATAGGATGGGGTCATCTGGAATGAGTTCACAGACTCAAGCATTCTTTGAGTCAAGGTGGCAAAGATCCATTGTTACGCTATACAGCAGGCATAGCTCCTTAAGGAATTCTGCCGTGGTGGGCAGAGCTCCTTAGGGAACTTGCAACCTAATGGGAATGATGCTAAAGCTTATATAGGAAAAGTAGTGAATTATGTCATTCATTACTAGGAGCCTCTGGGGCCAGGGGCAGGAGAGGGTTCCTAAGGGTATGTTTTTGGTCTGTTATGTCTGTAACAAGGTAGTTTCAGGAGTTGACGTCTATAGCTGGACCTCTGGATTGTGTACGTAACTGTGGCGCATCGGTACTTGATAATTCTGCTGCTACAAGATAGTCCTGTTCATACAAGGGAAATTCTATAGAGGTCAGCTTGTTCTTGTAACAGGGAAAGATAGCTGACCTTACTGGGCCCACTCATGAGTCACTGCCAGAGACAGGGTCCTTGGGCAGGAGGGAAACGATCAGGGATAGTGTTTCTGAGGCCAGGAAGAAAAGTGATCTTGGAAGTGGGGTCTGAGTACAAGCACCCAGCACCTATCGGGGTATTTTGGCCAAACTCCTGGGTCAGAGCAGGAAGTATCTTTGCCAAGAAAACCTCAAACGGGGTCACCAAGGGTCAGACACAAATGATTGATTAAACAACAAAAGGTAGGCAAAATGCTTTCTCCCTCTCTCTCTCTGTTATTTTATCCTTTCAATAACTCTTACAAATAGGTGCTATTATCACCACTGAGGAGGCTGAGTCTGGGAGAGTGTAAGTTACTTGAAATGAAATAACATGGAAAGAGTTTTAAAAACCTTAAAGTTAAGTCAGTCAGTCAGTCAGTCAACATTTATTAAGCACCTACTATATGCCAGTATACACCTGGTCCCAAAGTTAGTTATTACATTGAACTGGCTTCTCATCATAAGAGCTCACATTTATATGACACCTTCCATACATTAGCTCATTGAATCTTCCCAGCAATTCCTTGAGGTAGGAGTTATTATTATTATGTTATTAAAAGGTAGGTCATGCCATTATTATCCCCGTTTAACAGATGGGGAAACTGAGGCAGGCAGCAGTTAAATGATTTGCCCAGAGTGACACAGCTCATAAGTATCTAAGGTGGGATATGAACCCAGGTCTTCCTGACTCCAAGTCCAGTGCTCTATCCTTTGTATCATGCCTCCTTTCATGTCTTCCTGTGTTGCTTCTTTGCACATTATTATGATTATTTGTATAGCTTGTTCTCCTAGTTCTGCTCACTTCACTCTGTATCAGACCTTACAAGACAGTCTTATAAGGAAGACTTCTTTCCACTAGTCCGTTGACCTTTCTGGGCCTCAGTTTCCTCATCTGTTGGGTTTGTTGACTTCTTTTTCTTTCCTTTTTTTTGCTTTTTGGTGAGGCCATTGAGGTCATGTGACTTGTCTGGGGTCACACAGCTATTAAGTGTTAAATTTGAACTCGGGTCCTCCTGACTGTAGGACTGGAGCTCTATCCACTGCGCCACCTAGCTGCCCCTGGTTGACTTCTAAGTTCCCTCTTAATCCTGACTCTGCCGTCCTCACATTGACCATTCCACAGAGTGCCCCAGTATTCTCTTATATTCATAGCCCCCATTTGTCCTGCCATCTCCACCATTGATGGACGCCATTTTCCCTGCCAAGCATTGATGCTCATCTCCAAAGTGCCCATGTCTTGATTTTTCCCCAGCCTCATTTCATTTTCCGTGACCCATCATTTCAGCATGATTTCTCCATGGACACAAATGGAAATCTGGCCCCGCCCCTTGGTAGACAGATGGCCTGCAGGACTGACTGTGGCCAACAGAATCCCAGCCCTGGTAGCTGCACCTCCTGATGCTCACCGTCTGCCCTCTTCTCGAGGCTGGTCCTTGGAAAACAAGGACATGGTGCATCATCAGGCCTGTCCTGAAGCTTTTCTAGCTTGGGAGCACCTGTCACAGCTTACTGTCTGGTGGCTTAACCTTCAGTCGGTCAACAAACACTTATTAAGTTCCATATAGTAATATGTCAGGCATTGTGCTAAATGTTGGCGATACTCCTCCAGGAGCTCACAGTCTACTGGGGAGACAATGTGTCCACAAATAAATATGTGCAGAAGAGATGAAACGCAAACTGAGCGAGAAAGGCGCTAATAGCTAGGGAGCTGGGCTGCAGGAGCACAGGAAGGGCATTCGGCAGAAAGCTGAGTTGGAGCTGAATCTTGAAGGAAGCCAGAGATGCTTAGGGGTGGCAGGACAGGGACAGCATTCCAGGCAGGGGGCACAGCCAGTACAAACAGTCTATCAATGTCTAGCAAAGCAGTCGGTTGGTTTGGAGCCTAGAGCTCTGAACGTGAAACCAAGAAGGCCAGAGTTTGAATCGTGCTACACATACTTACCAGCTCTATGACCCTGGGCAAGTCACTTAACCTCTGTCTGCCTCAGTTTCTTCATCTATGTGTTTTACTTTGTGCATTTGAAAACATGATTCTGACAAGGGACTCCTACACTCTCCCAGACTGCCAAAGGGATCCATTACTCACAGAAAGGTAGAGAATCCATCCTTGCTGTTGGGGACCTCGAAGTCCAACCCTGTCATCTTATGGATGAAGAAACCGAGAGCCCAGGAAGGGAGGGGACTTGCTTTCGTGTATTCGTCCTCTGGTTGGGTGATCCTTTACAATGGAGCTCAGTCTTCTCCCTAGTGGGTAGACCCTTTTTCAAGGACTTATTTCCAGAATTTTGCTTCTTCAAACTGGCGTCCTTGTAGGTGAGAATGGATGCTGGGCTGAATTGGATACCTAGATCTCTTTCGCCCTGAAATTCCTACACTGCAGTGTGTATGGAAGGAAAATGTCATTTTTTCCTGCTTCTGAAAATATTTCCTTCTTGCACATTGGGTGCCATCTGGAGAGGAGTTATTAGCGAGATTAGCCAAACACACTTTCGAGTCAGCCCAATAGGACTGACGCCTTCAGACTGGTCTCAGCTTGTTTCCCTGTGGGGTGGAGAGAGGGTGAATCCAAAGCCCTCCCCAGTGCCATATGGAGGAGGTGGGGGCATAGTTCCCACTGGCTGCTGCTTGGTTCTGCTGCCCTTGGAATGTCCCTGGGGCGCTCAGGGCGGTGGCTGACGGGCACAGGGAAGAAAGTTCAGCTCGAAAACCAAGGGTCTGTTTGGTTGTGTTTTGCAGGCAATAGAGTATGACGGCTGGACTGACACCTTGTTCCTTCTACAGTTCACATTGTCCTGTGTGATGGGGTAAGTGTTAGGTTTGCACTTTGCGCTGCTGCTGCAGGTCTCGGAGCTTGCTTTCTTGGAGGAATGATAATCTTTCTTGTGCTCCATCTTGATTGTATCATGGATTTTAAAGCTGAAAGGGGCCTTTGAGACCTCCTGGCCCAATCTCATCCCTTAGCAGATGAAGAAACTGAGGCCCAGAAGAAAGAAAGTGACCCGCCCATTGCCCCACAGAACACGATTCACACCCGGGTCATGACTTCCAATCCAGGGGTCTTTGCACTGTATCATGTGCCTTCCTGGACCATGGCAGTTTCTCAGGGGTCTGAAAGGGTCACCTCCCTTCTTCATGTATCTTAGAGCTGTTAATGAGGAGACTTAATTGAGCTCCTTGGCAAGTACTAACAGAACAAAGAATGGGTCCTGGCTGGCAGAGAGAGGCCAGCATTATACAGTGGGACAACACTCACCCTAGAGTGAGAGGGCCTGGGTTCGAATCCCACCTTGGACATATTGTCAAAGTCACAAGCTGCCTGAGTTTCAGCCGCAGAAGGAGGTGGTTGGGCTGGATGGCTTCGAAGGGCCTTTCTACCTCTTCTGTCTGTGTTCCTCGGGGCAGCCGATGCTCGATTCAGGCCCCAAGCTTTGGAGCTCGCTCTGAGCTGCTGACAGTGTGGTGAGAGGGGAACACAGCTGGATCTGCAGACAGAGGACTTGGGTTCAAATCATACCTGGGTGATTTACTATCTGTGTCACCTTGGGCCTAACCTCCCAACTTCATTTCTTCAGCTTCATAATGAGAGGGGTAGGCCAGATGACCTCAGAGGGCCCTTCTAGCTCCAAATCTCTGATCTTACACTCCCCTCCAGAGTTATGATCTACAGACTTAATAAATTTGATATTCTTAAGGGAGAGCACAGCTCGGTGGTGCAGTGGATAGAAAGCCGCACTTGGAGTCAGGACGACCTGAGTCCAGATGTGGCCTCAGATACTCACTAGCTGTGTGACCCTGGGCAAGTCACTTCATTCTGTCTTCCTCAGTTTCCTCATCTGTAAAACAAGCTGGAGAAGGAAATGGCAAACCACTAAAGTATCTGCCAAGAAATGGGGCCATGAAGATTCAGACATGACTGAAAATGACTGAAGAAAAAGTCCCCAGCCGGCATTCATGTGACCCTTTCAGATTTGTAAAGTGATTTACATTCTGTATTTCATTTAGTGACCAGGGTGTCTGAAGTCTGGGACTGCTGCTCTCTGGTATTTGCAGGACCGGGTTTTCTCAGGCCACTCATTTCACGCACACAGAACCTCAGAACAGGGTAGTCCCCTCCACGCCCAGCAAGGATCCTTCCTCCAGCATTGCCCATGGAGGTAAATCCCAGCTGTGCAGGACAACCCACAGCCTCTTGGGGGCAGCCCTTGAGTGGGGTTTAGCTTTGATAATGGTTCTAGTGGCTTACATGAAGCCCAAATTGGGTTCTCCGAAGGCCACTCCATCCATTGCTTCACCGAGGGTGATGCAATCTGACCTGAGTTCTCTGGACATCCTGTGGAGTGTTGTTGTTCAGTCATTTACAGCTGTATCTGCCTCTTCGTGACCCCATTTGAGGTTTTCTTGGCAGAGATCCTGGAGTGGTTTGCCATTTCCTTCTCCTATTCATTTTACAGATGAGGAAACTGAGGCAAACAGGGTCACACAGCTAGTAAGTGTCCGAGGTGGGATTTGAACTCACGAAGATGAGTCTTTCTGATTTCAAGCTGGGTGTGTTACAGATTGCGCCGCCTACCTTCCCTTCTCTGGGCCTCAGTCTTCTCAATTATAAAATGAGGGGGTTGATCTAGATCAGGGTAGGGAATCTGTGGCCTTGAAGCCACATGTCGCCTTCTAGGTCCTCAAGCCCTTTGACTGAATCCAGACTTACAGAATAAACCCCCTTAATAAAAGGATTCATTGTGTAAAACTTGGATTCACTCAAAAGGCCACACCCGAGGACCTCGAAGGCCACACCCGAGGACCTCGAAGGCCACATGTGATCTGGAGACCACAGGTTCCCCACCCCTGGTCTAGATGCTTTGAGGTCCCTCCTGGCTCCAGATGGTCCCTGCCCTCTAGGAATTGCCATTTGATCAGGGAATGCAACATATACAACCTGTGTCACCACCCACCTCGTGCCTCGGCATTGACTTTGGTGACAGGCAACTTTCATTCTTTGGAGAGCACCACCGGAAGGGTATTAGGATCCAAAAGATGGGCCTTGGTTTCAAGGAGACCCTTGGGGGCAGAGGGGTGATGGTTTCTTTAAAAGCACCATGTGTTTCCCACACGCTGGCAGCCCACTTCCTCTCTCCTCTCCCTTCTCGTAAGTGTCTTAGATGGGGTTCGAACCCAGGACTCCTGACTCCAAGTCCCGTTTTCTTTCCATCCTTCTACACTGCCTCTCGGGTGGTAATCTGTTAGTGAAGGACCCAGAGAAGCAGCGTCACGCGAGTGGGCATCAGCAGGAGACGTGGTCAGACGCTGGCGGGAGGGGGAGGGATGAGAGGGAGGCGGGGTTTGTCTGGACACCTTCTTTTTCTCCTCCTCCAGGTTCATCTTGATGTACGCCACGGTGCTCTGTACACAGTATAACTCCGCTCTGACGACCACCATAGTTGGCTGTATTAAGGTGAGTTGGAAAGGTAGGGTGGGATTCACTGAAAACTGGTTTTGCTCCAAAATGCCAGCCTGACTAACTCCCTAAGCCCCAGCACAAAACCTGCTGACGGTTTTGCAAATAGCTGTGATGCTTCAATTGTTTTTTCAAAATATGTTTTATTTCTGTTTGTCAATTGATCCTCTTTTTAAAAAAAATATCCTTTCTTTGCTTTTGTATTTGAACCTCTACCACAGCTTGGCCCTTTTGTGTTCTTTCATTCATTCGTTCATTCATTCATTCATTCATTCATCACCATCACTCTCAATGACTTCCATCTGTCCCTTGCTCCATAGAACCCTTCCTTGTAAGACAAGCAACAGTCAGTCAACACGTTGACCATGTCTGCCCATGTATACCTTATTCTGCCCCTGTGGTTCACCACCTCTGTACCAAGAGCAGGAGACATGCTACTGTGTTACTTTTTCAGACAACCTCAAGAATGACCACTCGACATAATATCCCATTTCCTTGCCTCACCCCAGGCTGCTCCCCTGTGTCCAAAGAGAGATAAGCAGTAAACTGTAATACAGACCCACTTACTAAGTGTTTGCTATGTGCTACGGGCTGGGAATATGAATAACAAGAGAGTCCCTGCTCTCAGGGAGCTTACAGAGGGCAGATAGTACCAATGGGAGGGTCCGGCTGCAGGGTAGATGGAAAGGTCTGGTGGTCCTGAGGATGCTGTGGTGAGGCAATTGACAGGGGTCAGGAGTCCTCATGGGTTTTTATCAGGGCAACAGGTTCTAGACCTGAGTTCAAATCCTGCCTCAGACATTTTCTAGCTGTGTGACCTTGGGCAAGTCACTTAACCTCTGGCTGCCTTGGTTTCCTCATCTGTAAAATAGGGTTAATAACAGCATTCCTCAACAGGGTTGTTGAGTGGATCTATTGAGATAATAGAGGTAAAGCACTTTTTAAACCTTTAATTACTATATAAGTGCTAGATATTATTATTTTAAAGTCGTATAACAGACATAAAAGTGCATGACCAAACGGAAGGAAGGCAGTGGATTCTGATGCCCAAGACATCTTGCAGTTTCCCTCCTGTCATCCCCTCTGTGACAGTGGGGGAAGGGAGGCACTGGACCAGGGGGCTCTGTCCTGTGGGGCTTTCCCATGGCGTCTTGGTTGCCTACCCAAACTCATTTGGGGAGCTGGCCTAGGATTGGAGCTCCAGAAGGGCTGTGAATGGAAACCATGGAGATGGAGCGTTGGTGTGAACAGAGCTCTAAATTAAGCTTGTAACAAGGCAATTGTATGAACTGCCCAGGAAAGCTGGCAACCAAATGTCTTATGCAAGAGACACGGTTGCTATTGCGTGAACGCCAAGCGAGCTCTCTCGGCTCTGTTTTGGTTTTGTGAGGCTGCTGTAAGAGCAAGAAGGGTTACAGAGAGGGATGCCCTATCTCTCCAGAAGAGGAGCACAGGGCTAGGGAAGGAGACAGCCCAAGCCTTCTCTCTCTGTGGGTTCAGAGGGCGACCCAGCCAAGCAGCAGAAGTGCCAACATTATGTCTTTGGGGAGCATCTCCCATCAAAGCACTTCCTTGTGCCATTACAAGTATTTCCAGCTTCTTCCAATTTGTGGTACAGTGGAAAGAGGGGTGGATTTGGAGTTGGGGACCTCAGTTTGAATCCTGGCTTGGCTGTGTGATATCTTTGTGACTTTAGATAATTCACCTCTTTTGGGCCTCAGTGTCCTCATCTGTAAAATGAGACTGTAGGACTGGATGGCCCACTCTCTATATGTGACCTAACATGTCCTCTGTACCCAGCTTTTAAAAACTTGAAAAAAAAATTAGCAATGCTTTTTGTTGTGACATCACAGTGATTTCCTGATATACCAGCTCTCCCCTAAATGCCCCACTGAAGCCTTCTCTCCTGTAATAGAAATGAAACAGCTAAGCAAATCAGCCAACATATTCCGAGCAAGTATTTGACATTCTGTACCTGTAATCCCTAACTGTTCAATGGAGAAAAAGTAAATATGTTGTTTTATTATCTCGGATCAAAATGGGGCTTTACTTTTAATAGCTGGCATTTATATAAGCTTAAAGGTGAGCAAAGTGTTCTTACATATGTTATCTCATTTAATTCTCCAATAAAGCTGGGACAGAGGTGATTTATTTAACCCCATTTTCTAGATGAGGAAACTGAGGCAGACTTGCCTAGGGTCATGTAGCTGGATCAAGATTTGAACTCGGGTCTTTCTGACTTCAAATTCAACCCTTTACGCCCTGTGGTGCCACCTGGCTGCTACACTGAATCTGAGATCAGTTGCTTTTTGGTATTGTTTTCAGTCATGTTGTCATGATTACATATCATTCATCTGGTTTTACTTGGTCTACTCTGCATCAGTTCACGTAAGTTTTCTTGTGCTTCTCTGAATTCCTCATTCATCATTCCTTATAGTTCAGTGGCCTCATATTACTCGTGTGTCATCATCACTATTTTCCGTCTTTCCCTAATTGACAGGGACTTGCTTTGTTTCCATTTTTTTTAATATCACAACAAGTACCTCTGAATATTTTATCCCTCATCCATTCTTTGAGGTTCTGGTTAGAATATGGAGACACTTATGCGTCTTCTTTTAGCCTGCCTTCCTTCTTCTTTCTTTCTTTCTTTCTTTCTTCCTTTCTTTCTCTTCCTTCCTTCCTTCCTTTCTTTCTCTCTCTTTCTTTCTTTCCCACCCTCTATTACATCACTTGCTTCCCAGTGACTCACCCCCACTATTCTTACTTTTACATTTTGTCTATTAACTTAAATTTTCTTAATAATAGTAATCAAAGTAGTATTAACCACTTACACATACACGGGAGTTTTCTAATTTACGAAGTGATTTCATATTCCTTATCTCTTTTTCCTTTTTAAAATCATGATCTTGGCAACCATTAACAAAGGGCAGACAAAAGAGGATTGCATAGGGAAGCATGAATCTGTTACACACATCTGGTTCTGTTTGTTGTCGTTCAGTCATATCTTGACTCTCTGACCCCTTTTGGGGTTGTCTTGACAAAGGTCCTGGAGTGGTTTTGCCATTTCCTTCTCTAGCTCATTTTACAGATGAGGAAACTGAAGCAAACAGGGTGAAGGGACTTGCTAGTAAGTGTCTGAGGTTGGATTTGAACTCAGGTCTTCCTGACTCCAAGGCTGGTGCTTTCTCCACTGCGCCACTTAGCTGTCTGATTGGATTTATATTCAATGTATCTGTGACCTGAGCAAGTGACTTAACCTCTCAGCATCCCAGGCAATATTTGTAAGTTGTAGAGAAGGTGCCAGGCTCCAGTGGTGGTGCCAGTGATATCTGTGACCCCCATTACATTTAACCTGGCAGTACCAGCTGTGCCTGACTGCCTGTGTCCCTCTCTGAGCTTCCTTCTTCTGAGCAGTGTTTAAATGTTTCAAAGATGACGCTTTTTCTCCTTCCATCAATATCTAACACCACCCCACCACCCCACCACCCGCCCCAGCCAGCATTTGTTATTTCCAGAGGCAAGGACAGGAGAGGGGCCAAAGTGACTGAAGAAAGACAGGTGGGGAAACACATATTTGAGAAACAAAAAAAGAGAACACTTTCCCTCATTTGGGGGCCTGGGGATTAAAACAGTTTCATTCAGGAGACAGGAAAACTTTTTTTAAAATAAGATTATTCAGTCACCCAGCAGAGTTGTCTGGACCTGCTTGGCTGTTCTTAGGCGGAGAAACTTTTCATCCAGTGGCACCTCCCAAAGTATGTCTCATGACCAAAATCTCTCAGGCTGATGTAGAAAAATTGGGGAAAATGTGCTTAGATATTCAGAAAGGGAAGTGGTCCTCCCAGTTCTGTCAATTCAGACTGGCTTTTCCTTGGAAAACACCCAGTTCCCTTAGTCCCTGTGGCTGACAAATCTACCAGGATGCCCTTGCCTGGAGGCATCTGTTTTACTCAGTGTGATGGGTACTGTCAGCCAGGCCCAGGGCAAGGCAGAGTTTGGTATCTGCAGAAGCCCTGGTGAAAATGTTTGCCTTCAGGGGAAATGACAAGGGGACAGGTGAACCCAGCCTTCCTCCTCCTATGATTCTATGATTTGACTTTCACCCTCCCCAGAGGTGTGTGTGTGTGTGTGTGTATGGGTTTGTGTGTATATGTGTGTGTGTATGGGTTTGTGTCTGTGTGTATGGGTGTGTATATGTATGGGTGTGTGTGTGTGTGTGTGTGTGTGTTTATGTGTGTGTGTGTATGGGTATGTATGTGTGTTTTAAACACAAGCATATGAAAAGATGATGGAATGAGATCTGAAAACTAAGTAAAATCTTGGTTCTTTCTTTTCAGAATATTTTAATAACTTATATTGGAATGGTCTTTGGTGGAGACTATATTTTCACATGGACCAATTTCATTGGGTTAAATATCAGGTAAGCAAATAATTGTTTGTAAGTCACCGTCTTGAGGAGTGAAGCCTGGGGGGTGGGGGGGAAGATGCATGTGAGAAGAATCAGTTGGGAATGAGGCCATGACTGTTGAGTCAGAAAGACCAGGTTCCAATCCTGCCTCGGAGGCTCACTAGCTGTGTACCAGATCTTGGGTATCCTAGACAGGAGGGACCACAGAGGCCATCTAGACCCTCCTTTTCATTTTACAGATAAGGAAACTGAGGTTCAGAGGGGTAAATGGACTTGCCCCAGGTCACACAGGTACTGAGTGGCAGAGATGGCATTTATTTGAACCCAGATCCTGAGTCTAGACCAGAGCTCTGCACCGTGTTTCCTTATGCTTGTTCTGCCAGAGGGAGGAGGAGAGCTCTATCACAGTCAGAAGCCTGAGGCCTAGTGCTGGCTTTGTGAGCCTTAGAACATTGATTGTATCACTTGCTCCCCCCACCCCTTGTCTTCCTCTGTACAGTGGACTTAGGACTGTAAGGCCACTAGAAATATAAAAATATGTATAAAATAAATATAAAATAATTAAAATATTTATAAAATCGAGTACAAATATAGTGTCTTTTAGGGAAGATATCAGTGGCAGTAAGAACAGATTTGAACTCAGAAGATTTGGGTTCCAATGCTGCCTGGGTAACCAGGGGGGATGGGGGTGGAGGGGTAAGTGACTTTACCTCTCTGGCCTCAGTTTCTTCATCTGTTAAAAAAGGGAGGGTAGTGGACTTGATGTCCTCTAAGATCAAGTAAGATAATATTTGCAAAAAAAAAAAAATAAAGCACTTAGTGCAGTGCCTGGTACACAGTAGGTGCTATATAAATGCTCGTTCTCTTTCCCCTAAGCTTCCTTTCTGCTCTAGATCTTTGTGATCCTGGGACTATATAACTGCTAAGGTTCCTTCTTTCAATATCATTATGTACTTCTGTTAACCAATCAGTTAGCAAACCATGCATTCATTCATTCATTCGCTTAGAGGCAATCAGGGTTAAGTGACTTGCTAGGGTCACTCAGCTACCAAGTTTATGAGGTCAAATTTGAACTCAGGTCCTCCTGACTCCAGAGCCTGTGCTCTATTCACTGCACCACTTAGCTGTAGTAAACATTTACTAAGCCCGTACTGTGTGGAAGCACTGTGCTCAATGCTGGGGATAGAAAAAAGAGGCAAGGGGCAACTAGGTGGTGTACTGGATAGAGCACTGGCCCTGGAGTCAGGAGGACCTGAGTTCAAATCTGCCCTCAGCCACATAACACTTACTAGCTGTGTGACCCTGGGCAAGTCACTTAACTCCATTGCCTAGCGAAAAAATAAAATAAAAAAAAAAGTCTTTAAAAAAAAAAAGCAAAAAGAGGCAAAAAGTCTAGATTTGTAAATAGTAGGGATCTATTTAGTCAATTAGTAGTCAATAAGCTTTAAATGCCTCCTATTAAGCGCCTAAATGCATACTCTGTAGGTCTCTGGGAATACAAAGATAAAAGTCAAACAATTCTTGCCTTCAAGGAACTTCACTTCTAATAGAGAATGTAACAAATACATATTTTTATTTTGTTAGTTATTCCTTTTTTTAACTTAATTTTATTTTTCAATGAGCAAGAATTTATTTGTTCTCTCTTCCACTCGATTAAAAAAAGGAAGGAAGGAAGAAAGAAAGAAAGAGAAACATGCCGAAGATGGTATTTGCCTAGAACACCAGAAGAAGTCATTTGTTAAGTGTCTTCCCTGCTCCCTCTCCTCCCCCAACCCTTTCCTCTTTCTGTCCAGCCACCATCATCTTCTCGGCAGGCAGCCGGGTTCACAGCCTCAGCTCATCATCAGCTCTTCCCTCACCCGCACCCTTCAGACCTGATCGGTTTCTTGGTGTTGCCCTTTCTTGGTCCACACCCCTCTCCTGTACCTCCCCCTTCTCTCCAGTCTCACAGCAGCCACCCTAGGTCAGTGCCTCCCTCATCACCTGTAATCAGGCCACTGCACTAGCCTTCTCACCAGCTCACTGGCCTCCCTGCATCAAGTCTCTTACCACTGCACTCCATCCTCCCATCAGCTGCCAAGGATTTTCTTATTGTGTATCCCCATTGCCTCTTTTGAAGTCACCCCTGTCTGGATGCAGCCTCTTTTTCCAGACTAATTTCTCTTTACTCCCTCCCACCTCTTCTGAACACCAGCCAGACAGTCACAGTACTGCTCCCCAGCAGGACATCCCTTCTTCTGTCTCCCTGACTTTGCCTAGGCTGCCCCCTGGTCTAGAATGCTCCCATTCCTCACCACAGGCACCCCACTCCCAGCCCTGGTGACCCTAGGCAAGTCACTTAACCCCGATTGCCTCTGCTGGGATCAGCTGAGCAGCTCCTGCTTCCCTGAAGCCTTTCTTGATTGCCCGACTCGTTACTGCCCTTCTCCTAAATTGCTTGGTATATACTTTTAATTTATACTTAGGCTGTGTGACCCTATCTGCTGTAATGAAGAGAATGCTGCTGCTAATAACTCACATTTATACAATGCTTTAATGCTGTAAAGTTTGCAATGGGTTTTTATATACATGATCTCTTTTGAGCTGTATAATAACCCCGTGAGGCAGATATTGGAGGCACTATAATGCCCATTTTGTTGATAAGGAAATTGAGGTCCAGAGAAGGTATAGCTTAGGTGTCATGGGTCAGTCTCTAGTCAATTCAGCTCCTTTGACTCCATAAGAAAGAACCTTAGAGTTGGAGGAGAGAGTACAGAGGAGAGATCTTGGGCTTTGGTGTCAGAGGAGCTGAGTTCAGATCCTGCCTTGAGAGTTTACTACTTGGACAAATTTGGACCAGTTTACTTGGTTTCAGCGGGCCTCAGTTTCTCATCTGTAAAATCAGGGGGTTGGCTTCTGAGGTCCTTCCCAGCTGTGATCCTTCATTCCCTTTGGGCCAGCCTGTAGATGAGCAAAGATGCTCTCACAGCATTCCCCTCAGGTCATCATCCTGCTAATCTCACCTGGCCATAGCATGGTAGATCCAGAAAGGGAAAGACCTGCAAAGACCATTTGGTCACAGGATTTTATATTTACATCTGGAAGGGTCTTTAAGGTCCTCAAGTCTAACTTCCCCATTTTACTAATGAGGAACTGAAACCCAGAGGTTATGAAGTGACTTGGCTAGGGGGACCAAGCTTATGAATGTGTGAGTCAGGATTTGAACTCAGGTCTTCCTGACTCCGTGTCCAACACTCTACTTATTCACTGTAGCTCCTAGTTGCTGCCGGCCCAAACCCCCACCCCCATTTTACAGATGAAGAAACCAAGGCCCAGAGAAATTAAGTGACCTTCTCAAAGTCATACAGGTAGTAAGTTAGGATTTGGACCCATGTTCTTTGATTACAGTCAGTGTGGCATCCTTTGATTAGGACACCTCATTCAAGCTATCTTAAATCCATGCCAATCGCAGTGCTGGCTGCTGGGGGGGGGGGGGGTACAAAAACCAAAATTAAATTGTCCCTGCCTTCAAAGAGCTTCCTTTCTGCTTGAGGAAACAACACGTACCCAGATGAGTAAATAGGAAATACTTACATTATTATTTTGGTGTGGAGAGGGGAATTCACCAGTCAACAAGCATTAAGCTTCTCCTGTGTTCCATATCAAAAAAAAAAAAAAAAATCAACTAGCCCTGCTCTCAAGGAGGGTCCAGGAGAGGCCCCGCCCTTTGTCTGGTGTGCTGGGAAGTGTCAGTCACTCTTCTGTGCTGCTCTGTAGGAATGATGACCTCTTGTTTTCAGTTTCCTTTCTCAGACCAGGCTAAGATCTCTTCCTCTATTTCTCCAGGTAATATGTTTCTTCTGATTGCCAGCGTCGAGGATCACAGATTTAGAGCTGGATTTAGATCAGTTTTAGCTTAGAGGTCATCTAGGGAGTAGGCTCCCCTAACTTCCAGAAGGGGAAACTGAGGCTGTCTGAGATGACACACAGGTAGTAAAATGCAGAGTCGACCTTCTGCCTCCCAACACTCTTAGAAAAAGGGAACAGGAAGGCACTTTCTATTGGTTAGGCTTCTCCAAAGTTTGGGAATTGAATTGCTGCTCTAATTAAATTCATTTCAATTCAGCAAGCCTTTCTTCCTAATGCCTACAATGGCCAGGCATTGCCCTAGGCTTCTGGGATCTAAAAATAAAAACATCTCTCTTGCTGCCCTTTAGAACATTCAACTAGACCAGCAGTGCTGGGCTGTAAGAATAAACAGGAAACTACTTTTGAGTTTTCTTTTTTCTTTCTTCCTCGTCCCCCACTCCCAAATCATCTCCCAGCCAGCATTTGAGTTAGCATTCTAGAGAATTTCCCTAACCAGAATTTTCCTTGGAAAGAGAGGATTTGCCTGACCAATATAAGGTAGTTAACAGCTGACACCACCCCCCCCCATCCAGAATTGCAAATACCAAGAAGCATTCCCTAGAATTTCTAATCCTTGGGGTCTCTCTCCTCCTTTTCCCCCTTACTACCCCCCCCCCCATTCACCCCTGCTCCTCCTGATTTGGGGGAGAAACGAACCTTCCTCACTCAGCTGGTTTATTCTGATCTCAGCCCCCAGCTCCTTAACTGGACTTCAAGGGCTGGTTGTGTGTGTATATATAAATACCTGCATACTCTGCAAAGCTATTTAGTGAACTAAGAAAAGACATTCCTTCCCCTGAAGGAGCTTGCATCAGAATGGATATGTTTCTAAAAAAAAAAAAAAACCCACGGGTTGGATCTGGAGTTAATTTGGTCTTTTCCTGGGATCCTTGCGGGTTTGGGGCTTTGATTTTTGAAACCTTGCTTTGTGAATTACCATTCTAAGGTGGGTTCTTTAGAATGCTAAGTAACATTCTGGGGAGAGCTTTTTGGAATGCTAAGTCATATTCTAAAGAAAAGTCTTTCGAATGCTAAATGAACTCTTTAGAATGCAGGGAAACATTCCACTGAAGACTATTTAGAATGCTAAGTAACATTCTTTAGAAAGGCAATTCTCTAACTGCTCCAGGTTTGTCTTATCCTGGAATCAACTTTTCTTCCCTGAGAGACCTGTAGGTTAGCTGAAGTCCATTCCGTATTTTTATATTCACTTTTTTTTTTTTCATTCAGTAAACCCTCAAGACTCATTGTAAGCTTAGCACTTCACTAAGTATTGTGGGGAGTTTTACATTGTATAAGGCATGATCTATGCCTATAAGAAACTTAGAATTTAATTGGAGAGAAAAGATACACAGTATCTCTAGTAGAAAGTAATGGCCTGAAAAGGTAGAACTGGTTTGTGCCTTTTTTGTCTTTTAGCCATCATTCAGTCAATCGACCTGCATTTATTAAGTGCTATCATTGTGCTTAAGCCGGCGGGATACACAGACAAAAAATGGAACTGTCTCAGCTTTCAAGGAATTGATATTCTATGGGAGAGAGCACATAGACGAATAAATATAAATGTAATGTCATGTTAGGTCAAACATAGGAACAAAATAATGGCCCCTAAGGTCTGTGTGGCTCCCTCCTCTGCAGCTTCAGGGAGTTTGTTTTATTTTATTTTGTTTTTCCACTAGGCAATAGGATTGAGTGACTTGCTCAGGGTCACACAGCTAGTAAGTGTCAAGTGTCTGAGGCCTGATTTGAACTTGGGTCCTCCTGACTCTAGGTGCTCTATTCACTGCGCCACCTAACTGCCCCAGGGAGTTTATTTTAGTCCAAACATTTTGAGTTCAGTCCTGATCTGACACCCTGCTTAGGAAAACTCCTAACATTTAGCCAGAGGCTTAGGTTCTCTGCCTTACTTTAAATTGTATCTATCTCCAATTAAATGCTTTCCTCTTTGTGGTTGATGCTAAATTGAGGTTCCTGGAAATACTTGGATAGTAAAATGGCACATAACATAACATAACACAACATAACACAACACAACATAATACAACACAACATAACACAGCGTAACACAACATAACACAACACTGGGTACAAGGCACCTGGAGGGGAAGTTGGGCTGGGGAGGGGGTGGGGGGAGCAGATCTTTCCTCAGGATTTCCTCCAGTCCTTGAGAAGATGCCTACGCTGCTGGGCTTTGTGACTCAGAGGCTGTCTGTCTACTAAAACATGCTGCCTCCTTAATTATGAGTAATATTATCTGATGCTTGTTATCATAGTGAGAGCTGGCTGTAGAGTCAGGAAGATCTGGGTCCTGCCTCGGACACAAAAAGCTTGTGTGACCCTGGGCAGGTCATTTCTCAGTGCCCTGGGTATCTCTCCAGGACTACTGCAGAGCAGGTAGCATCCTGACCTGTATTTATAGAGGGTGTGCCAGTGAAATCACAGTTCTTATCTCTATCTTTTGTTGCTGTTCATTCATTTTTGGTCCTTTCCGACTCTCTATGACCCCATTTGGGGTTTTCTTGGCAGAGATATTGGAGTGGTTTGTCATTTCCTTCTCCTGCTCATTTTATAGATGAGGAAACTGAAGCAAACAGAGGTTAAGTGACTTGCACAGGGTCACACAACCAGTAAGTGTGTAAGACTGGATTTGAACTCAGAGATGAGTCTTTCTGACTCCAAGCCTGGTGCTCTATGCTGTATGGTGCCGCCTCCCTGGTCCATCCTTTGCGCTAAGTAATGGTTATCCTTAGTAAAGAATTAGGATGGCAGTTGTTATTGTAAAGGCTCCACAGAAGCAAGCCGTTCTCCTGCCTTGATCACTGCAGACGTTCTTTTGTTCTCCACAGTATTGCTGGGAGCCTGGTGTACTCCTACATCACTTTCACAGAAGAGCAGCTGAGCAAACAGTCAGAGACAAGCAGCAAACTGGACGTTAAAGGGAAAGGCGCCGTGTGAGCCGGCTCATCCACCATGAGCGGTCAACCCTGCACGCGGGCAGTGCCAACGGAGACCTGCTGTAACGGCTGGGGTGTCTTGCTTCTAGTGAGCTCTCGGTCCTGGGGCCCTTGTCCAATCCGAAGATTGCTGCCTTTTTAAATTTTGATGATGAGAGAATCTTATAATTGATTCTATTTTAAATCTGCAGTTTGCATTAATTTATACTGGACTGGAAGATGACGTATCTGGCTTTTAATTTATTGTTTTCCTCTCCACCAACCATGGGACTCCATGTTGTTCTTTGGGCATCTGTGTCCCCAGCAAGTGGCATCCAGCCTCCTTCTCCTCTCCCTGCAGACGGGGTCACTGCGGTCAGACCTTTTGCTAGGCTGAGAGTGTCTGTCTTGTGGAAGCAGTGTGCCCCCTTTACTGCTGCTGAGTGCAGCTGGGCATGACAACGCAGGGCATTCTGATAGGTCCTCTCTCAGAATTCTCCTTCTTCACTTTCTGTTTCCCACTTTGAGGGCCTGGTCACTACATTCTCAATTTCTTGCTGTCTTCAAAGGATGATCTTTTTCTACAGAGAGAGACAACACACGTGTGGCATCTGGGATGGCTTGCATCCCAAAGCTCTTTGATGTCGTGAGTGTGGGGAGAATAACGCTTTTGGTTTTTAAACCCTTCATTTGAGATGCTCCATGGAAATGAGGCTGGAATGGGAGACATACTTCAGGTTAGCCCTGGAAGAAGTTGGCCGTGTTCCTGGTCTGGCAAACCCAGGTTATTGTAAGTAACTTCGAAGCAGACACCCCCCTCCCCCAAGTGGGAACACAGTCAGATCAAGCCCATCCCCTTATCTTGTTAAGTGGGAGTGGGAAGTACACAGGCATCTCCTGCTTCCCCTAAACTCATCTGGCTCCTTTCCTCTCTCTCCACTTCTAGGCTTGGCTACCATTCCCTTTTTGCATCCCTTGCCTTGGGGTTTTTCACTTTATTCCCCTTATCAGAATCCCCTGTTTCTAATTTCTTATGATTTGAGGGGAAAGATGGTTGGAATCTATTCCCTGGAGGCGTCCGCCAGAAGCATGGCTCCATCTCTCTGATGAAATGCATCATGGCCAGTGTAGCATCAGGGCATCTTGGTTACTCTTGTCTCTGCAGACTCCAAGCTAAGAATGGCTTTTACATTTTAAAATGCAATAAAATTTTTAAATTTCAAATTAAATTTTAAAATCCAATAAGGACATTTAAAAACCATTCTTAACTTGCGGGCTGTACAAAAACAAGCACATGGTGGGTAGTGAGTGCTTCACCCGATCTCTGACCTAGGTTCCAGGCCTTGCTGTGATATATCTACCTGTCAGACTGTGGGCCAGTTACTTCTCTCTTGGGGCCTCGCTTTCTTCATCTCTGAAATGAGGGAGGTGGGTGAGGTGCTTGCTGAGGTTTTTTCCAACTGTCAGTGAAGGATTTGAAGAGGCTGAGATGTGGTGAAGCCGCTCTTCCTTTCGGGTCAGCCAGCTGTGAGACTCCTTGGTGTCTCATTACCAGGATTTGGCCCCCCTTCTCTTCCTGATACCACCTGAGTCATGCTCGAAATCTCTGGAGCAGTGGCTTGAAACAGACACCTGTCTTAGTGAGCTTCACCGTCCTCTTCAACCTCAGAGATGCTGGCTCCTTAACCTATAAAGGAAGGTACCATTTTCTATAGCTGGATGGAATGAGCCTGTGGCCTACTGGTAAATGGATTTTCTCCTTATGCATTTGGGGTCTCCTTCAGTTTTAACAACTGGGCAGCTGACCCATTTTACAAGCTTCTAGATTTTAGGAAAAGCTTGGGAAGATTACTGGATCTGTAACTAGAGGACCTGGATTTTCTGCTTAATACCTGTGTGATCTTGGGCAAATCACTTCTCTGGGCCTCAGTTTCCTCATCTTCAAAATGGCAGGGTTGGACTAGATGACCTGAAAGAGTCCTTCCTTCTTTAAATCTGAAGATTCTGTGAGCTTGGTGCATTTCCAGAGAAAGGAAACCAAGATGGTGGTGGGATTGGAGAGTATGCCGTATGAGGAACAGTTTAAAAAAATGGAAGTTTCATCTTGGTGAAGAGAATGAGGGAGAGAATGTGACAGCCATCTTCAAGTATTTGAGGGTGGAAGATGCAGGAAGGCAGGCTTTGACTTAATGTAAGTAAACTCTTCCTAATAATTAGAGCCCCCCCTCCCCCAGAGTGGAATGAGCTGCCTTAAGATGCTACAGGTCCCCTGACCTGGAAGGACTCTAGGGGAAGGCTGGATTTCTCATCTTCAGAGACGATGCATGAGGATTCTGGTCCAGGTATGGGTCAGCCTGAGTGACCTTTGTGAGCCTGTCCAATTCTGAGATTCTGTGATTTACCTTACTGTCTGAGGTGATTTATAGAAAAGGGCCTCAGGCCTCCCTTCTTTCTAAGAATAGAAATACTCTAGCAGGAGGAGGAAAGGAGGATGGGGGAGGGAGAAGAAAAAAGAGAAGGCTTGGGAGTTGGGGGGTGGTAATGTGTATCCTTGGAGGCTAGGCCCTCAATGGAACAGGGTAGTAATAGTCATGATGGCTGGCTTTTCTATAGCATTTTAAGGTCTGCCCAGCACTCCACATCCAGTAATCTCATTTGAGCCTCCTAACAATGCTGCTCCCGGAGGCAGGTGCTGTTCTTACCCCCATTTTATACATGTGGAGACTTAAGCTCGGGCTCCTGGTCAGGAGTTTCCCAGCTCAGAAGGGTCACAGGCCTTTCTGTGCCCTATCGGCTTCATGCCACACTCTGGCTACTGGACCCTCGCTTAGTAGCAGTCAACAAGTCTCTGTTGACATTGGGCTCATGTTTGACCACTGGCCACCATTGGCTAGTTTTGTGGGAACATAGCAAGGTCAATACCTGCATTTCAGTTCTGATTTATTCAAAGATCTTTGTTCCCACTGCTCCCTTCTGTGACCAACATGAATAGCAATAGGAAGGGGGTGGGGCACATGGATTAAATTATTATGTGCAAATTTGGGTCATTTTCCTAGGGTAATAACTTAGGGAATGGGAAGTATCAGAACTGAAAATATATGTGCCTTCTAGAATGTCTAGATTATAGCCCAACACTAGACCTATCATATTATGACTTGTTAACTTACTCCTTTAGCAGGTAGAAGCCTTACTAAATTTTAACAAGTGGGAAACTGAGGCACAAAGCTGGCCAGGGACCTGTACCAGCCTACGGTGAGCTGTGGGCAGAGCTCGGAACTTCTGAGCCAATCACTGTAACCAATGGACAGGGTCGATCTGATTTTGATTAAACTTGCGTCAGCCGTCAGGGGTCGGGGTGCTCTGCATGTATGGAACAGAGGCCATTTTCAGTTGCCTTTCCGTGCTAATCACCTAATTCAGGGTGAGCTGCTTAAAGTCACAGAATCACAGAGTTGGAAAAGGCCTCAGCGGCCCTTTAGAGTCCAGCTGTCCATCGTCTGGTCTCCTGAGCAGTGGCCTTCTCCCATCTTTGGGCGTCCTCTGGTGGCCATTTGCCAAGAATGCCCCAAATGCATGACAGCAACAGACTCAACTTGTTTCCATTATAACTATCATACTTAGAATTCGCCATCAGCCTCCTTCCCTCCTTCCCTCCTGCTGGTCTTCAGGACTGTGTGGTATCCATCTCCTATTACTAACCTACGTGTCCTTTTCAAAACTGGTTGCTTCATAGTGAGTTCCTTGTGTGGCCACATCAGTGTCTTTAGGAAACTGGATTGGGGCCCCCCACCTGTTTTTCCTCCACATGTCTGTGTCTTCAGAACTCCATTCTCGAGAGTTCCCTATCCTTCCTAACGTAGAATTTCAGATTATGGTTACCTCTGTGCGCTTTCACTGAGACCTTTGAGTATTCAACTAAGTGTAGATTAAAGATAAGCCTGATTCTGTGGCCCCTCTATAGACCCTTCCCGTTCAGTAATTTGCAGATGTTCTGGTCAGTGGGAGCTTGGCTTTTCTTTGAACTTCAGCTGTGCTTGGTGCCCTGAGATGGTTACCCTGAGTTTTGGGTGGGCGGGGCACAAAATGGCCTCTGGCACTTTAAAGGAGCCAGTTATGGGTAGGAGAGAACAGTTTATGTAGATGTTATTCACCAAGATGGGGATAGGTTAGCCTATCCTGGCCATGCTCCACTGGAGCCCATATAATTGACCGACACCCTGGCACCTAGAAAGGGAAGTTATTCAAACACCTTCAGAGGTGGGCAGCCTGGTGTAAGCCCCGCCTACAGAATCCGTAATAACGGCTCATGTTTATAGAGTTTTAAGGTTTGCAAAGTGCTTCATGTATATTATCCCTTTTGGTCCTTACAACTCTGAGGTAGACATCCCTTCTTTATCGATGAGGAAACTGAGGTTGGGAGATGAAGGGATTGTTCCAGGGTCACACAGTTAGTGCAAGGCAGAATTTGACTTCAGGTCCAGGGCTCTGTCCATTACTCTAAGCTGCTTTTTTAAAGGGGACACCAGAAAAAAGTCCTAAGGACTCCCTGGGGTGGTCTCAGGGCCCAAAGCCCACCAGCCTCACTCAGTACAATCTGAAGCCTGGATTCCCCAGAGCAGAAGTGGTTTGAATCTGTAGCGCTCAAGATGTAGACTAATTCATATGGAGACTGGCTCTGCTTTTCTCTACCCGTTTGGGAGCATAACCTGGTACATGCTTGGCAATCATTTGGACAGAGGTAGACTAACCAGCATGGGCTTGGGAGTGGGAAGCTTTTCAGGGTGGACACTGGGGGTCTGGTTCCCTGCTCTTGTAATTGTGTTGTAACCCTGCCTGCTACATTCTGGCAGGTCAGGAATTTGTGTCACTTTACGTTTCTAAGGATTCTTGCAATGTTATCTTTGTCCTTAAAGGAATCGCTAGTTAGATTTGTCATCCCTGAAAAATGTTTTTCAAGATGACTTTCTTCTTAAATAGATGCCTCTTTCAGTGCCAGAAACCAGATGGTATTGTCTACACTGGGAAAGTGAATAAAATGGATGCCATCATATGTTTTCTATGCTGTTGATCTCCTGGAAATATTTTTTTCAATATAGATTCTATTTACAAAAATGACCATTTTTGTGTTTAAAAAAAAAAAAAAGGTACTGCAGGCCAGAGATTTGTAAATCAGCTCATTCAAAGAAAATTACTATGCCTGCTTAAGTATTTTTGTATGGGCTTCAAATAAATACTTTTCTCCTGAAAACGTGCATTTCAGTTCCTTTTGGGTGACACACAGGGCAGATGGAGCATGAGGGAGGGTGTCTATCTGCCTGCACTGAAGAGGAGGGAATCCAGGCTTTGTCTGAGGTACAGTAACAGTGAAAATGTGTCTGGGCCAGGTCCACCATCACGGTTTCCTGCCTGAACTGGAAAAGGCCAAATACCCTGTGTGTTGGGCGTAGTTGAGCCCTAGATCAGTTAGCGAGGAAATCGAATGTCAGTCTCTTCTTCTTTCTGGGCATTTTATAGGCGTAACTGCTAATCAGTAACCGGAATGGTTAAGGAAGGGAAGCATCTTCAGTGTCCCAGTCAGACCAAATGAAACGGTCTGAGGAAATCCAAAATAATTCCCAGTTTTCTTTCATCATCCCATTAGTGGTCATGCTTTTTCTTCCTCTTGTCCCTCCTCTACCTTCCCTTCTCAATGTCAGTGCAGTGGGAAGGAGCCTGGCTTTGCAGTCAGAAAGAGTTCAGTTCCACCTCGGGCGCTGCATCACGGGTGGGGGCGGGCATGATGAAGGGGTTGGTTCAATTACAGCTTCTGAGGTCGCTGTGATCATTCCCTCAAATCTCCCCCCCATCAACTCCACACCTCCTTCCCCCCTCCCCCTTGTTAATTTCAAATCATTCAATGCATTTTTGGGACTGGTCCTTTACATCTTTCAACATGTGTTGGTTGTCACTGAGCCTCAGTTTCCCCGTTTTGAATGGAAGGGTTGGGACTGGATATGCTCTGGGACCCCTTCCAGTGAAGTCGCATGATGTAGAAGACCATGAGGCTGGTTGGGGCCTCCCAAGGTTCCATGCTCCAACTTCCCTGTTCTTCTAGGAGGTTTAAGCCACAAGGGTGAACTTTTTAACATTCCGGTAATTGGGTCTGTGGATCACAAAGCAGTGAAAAGACAATCTGCAGCGTTGGGGATTCCAGCTTTGTTGGTTTCTACCTGTGTGACCTTGGGCAGATTTCCTCTCTCTAGAAAAATTGTCCCTGCCCTCAATGAGCTTACATTCTGTATGAGGGCTACATGGAAACTGTGGGCATTGGTTCCAGGGCAAGTCACTGAACCTCTGCCTCAATTTCCTCAGCTATTAACATGGAGATCATAACAATAATAATAACCAAGGAACCCATTCTGTGGGCATTCTTTCCACCCACCCATCAAGAACCAAAGTGAAATGGAATTCCAATTTCTAAACACAAGATATGGATCAGATGTCTCCTCCTCATGGGTCACAACATCTCGGAATAGAGGGAGGGGTGTTCATTGTGCCCGGGACACCACAGATGCTCATCTGGAGCTGAGGTAACTGACACCTGGGGGGGGGATTGGTTTGTTTTTTTGGACATAACTAACCTTTAGGTCTCAAGGAAGCTGTGGCAGTATTCTGTGCAATTCGGCAAACAAATATTAAGCAGGGCACTGGGGTTCAGTGGCAGGATTCAGGATGAGTTGGTGAGTCATGAATTCAGTATGCTCCCCACAAGCCTTCCTCTGACTTTGCCATAGCACCTTGGAGCTAACTGAAAATGTTAGAAAACTGTGAAGGGGCCTTTTCTGTGTAATGTGGTGATTTGAAAAGCTGACCTCACGGAGCTGAGACGCATCAAAGACAGGCTCTGAGTCTCCCGTGGTTTTGGTAACTTAGCGGAGCACAGCTTGAGAATTCAGACTTAAGACGTTTGAGTTAGAGCTATTTCCGGTTAAAAAATACAAATCAAAAAGCACTTACTACGTGCCAGATGCTGTGTTTGATTCTCACACCACCTTGGGAGGTATTTTACAAAAACGACCATTTTCACATTTTAATAAAAAGGGCACAAAATTAGGTGACTGTGAAGGAAAATTAATGTGCCTGCTTGTGTTATGATCTCCATTTTAATAGCTGAGGAAATTGAGGCAGAGGTTCAGTGACTTGCCCTGGTCACCCACCTACTAAGTCTGAGGCTGGATCTGAACTTGGGCCTTCCTGAGTCCAGACCTGGTGCTCTATCCACTGTGCCACCACCCTCTGGGGTTCACTGACTTAGCCAAAGTCACGCAGGTGGATTTCAGTGCTTTTCCCTTGCATCAATGAAAACTAAATCAAGTTTACACTTCTCCCTGTGGAAGGACAATGGGCCCAGCTCTCCCTCTTCCAGGCTCTGAGCATTCTCACTAACTACAAAGTGCCCCTTGCCTAGGTCTTCCTCCCAGGCAGCCCCACTTGGCCTAGAAGCAAACAGCCAGCTTGGCGAGGGTGTTGGGTGCTGGACATGGAAGCCTGCCCCTCCGCTCACTTGGTTAGTGGTGACTCCAGGCACGTCACCTAACTGTGCTGGGCCTGCTTTCTCCTGTGTAAAATGAAGAGGGGCCCTGGACGGATGGCACCCAAGGACCCGCTGCATCCAAGCAGATGGTCCTCGGGTGTGGAAGCCAGTCCGAGGGAGCCTGTGATGTTCTCTATCTCCGGCACTTTTCACACCCTGGATACAGGACCAGGCCACCCACCCTCTGGTAATGGCGCTTGCTTCTCCTGTAAACGGACTTCAGAGGGCGCTGCGGGAGGGCAATAGGAGGCACAGAAACAGGGTTTTCAGTGCCTGCCATGAGGGCGGGCAGAAGGAACTCAAGACGTTTATAACCTGAAGGACTCAAGGCGCGTGTATCGGGCTTCCCTGGCCTCAAAAGGCAGACCCGAGGCCACAGGGGAATCTGTCAGGAGACAAATCTAGGGTTGATGCCTAGAACTTGTCCTAAGCTGGGAGATGGGCTCCGTCCGTTCCGGGGTGGTCTGCTTCCCCTCCCTGGAAGGGTCTTCAGAGCCAGGCCTGGAGCCAGGCCACTGAGTTCCTCGGTACGGAATGGACTAGCCGATGGGGAGTTCCTATTCCGCCTCTCCCACCCCTCCCCCACAGAACTGAAGATCCCAAGATGTTCGCTTTCCTTTGGACTCCACCGCAGACTACTCGGAGGGTTCTCTCCTCTTATCTATTAGACCTAAGAGGAAGAGGCTGTGAGGCATCAGTGCAAAGGGGTTAAACATGGAGATTAAGGAAGAGGGGTGATAACACCTGTAAAAACCAGATGCAATCTCCCAGGAATGCTGCGAGCAGGGAGATGCGGAAACAAACCATGCGGAAGGACCCTAGTTTTTGTTAAGCTTAGAGGGAAATCCACCTGTCTGTGGATCCCACACATTACATCTAGAATTAATCCCTCTTAAAGTCGACTGAGAAATACTCACAGAATCTGGTTAACACAAGGACATGTTTAAAAAAATATTTTAATAAGCTTTTTCAGAATTGCAGACAGGGATTGGGGAGAGAACTGGAAATTACTTACAGTGCAAAATTACTATGCAGGAATTTTAAAAAATCGAATCGATGATTTCTGAATGCCTAGTCTTTTAAAATATCCCTTCAAATCTACTTTAAAGCTCAGCCAAAGATTTCTGTTGAACTGAATTTCTGATTCCGCAAACACCTCAAAGAACTCCACAAAAGAGAACCTCATTTCCCGATGGTGTTTGCCCAGACGCTGTGCACCGCGCACGCCAAGGGGAAAATAGTTCTGGATCCGAGTGAGGCCAATTAAATTCATGACATCACTAAAAATCGCAAAGTACTAATAGTGCAATGACCTCTCAAGTTCTAGTGGCTGTATGCTGAAGAACAAGACAAAAACATCATGTAAAATGCCTGCATAAACACAAACAAGAAAAGTACAATTCAATCCTCCCTCAGGAAAAGCTGAGCCTCCCACATCAGACTACCCCCACGGAATGTCACCTAGGGACACCTTCAAACTGTGAGAGCAAAAAAGCAACATTTCTGAACATGGCATGACTGCCCTCTCTGCAAACAGGCCTGAGGACAAATGACTTCTATATTTTCCTATCAAATGAGGTCGCACTTGACAAACTTGCAAACAAAGATGCATTTTTTTTTCTTAAGAAAAAAAAAAGTAACAATGGGTCTCTGACACCTAGCACCAGCCTTCCCTTGGAACCTTCTCTAGACCATCTTTGGACTTCACAAAGAACATGGATTGTGACCCCTTTGCTAAAGCTACTGCCATTCCAGGGGAATGGAAATGTTGGGTCACCACCCTCCACACACACTACCACTCAGACTCTGGGTAAAATCTGTGAATGTCCACCCTAGGAAATTAAAATGTTCTAAAATGGCTTTTAACACTGATCTGAGGCAGGAAGAAAAAGAAAATGTTGTTCACCTTGGTGAGGGAAGCAGCTGTGAGAGGGGGCCCACGGTGGAGCCACCCAGAGGACCACAAAGTACTTCTTGGCGGGGTCGTCTGTACTGCCTCCAAGCCGCTGGCCACCACGGAGAAAGAGAGAGGAGGTGTTGACAACGCGCACATCTGTGTGATACTTAGCAAAATTCCTTCTAAATGTTTGTATAGGAGTGTCTAGGTGGCCCACGCTCTGCCTAAGACGATTTTCAGCAAGAATCCCATGCTTAAAACAGACAGACCCGCCTGCCCTTTCAGCAAGACTCCACAAACAGATAACCCTGCTTCTCCAGGGAAATGGTTCCTCTTTTCTCCTTATATATCACTCTGTACCTATGACTACAATAAAGCCTCTGCTCTTCAACTTTGGAAAAACTCCTCCCCAAACTGAAAATGGAAGAATTGTTTCTGGGAAGGTCGGTCACCTTCTCTATTATTTTCCTATGTAAAATCAACGACACTTGATGTGACCTGTCCCACAAGAGATGCACACTTTTGCCAATGACCAGAGAAGACACTGTCCTTCCATTCCCACAAACAGAACTGAACCACCTCTTCTCATACCCTCCATGCTCATCTTAAATGCAAAAATGGGGTCTTTCTGATATGTATATAAAAATAACCGAGCAGGACTCTGGCCAACACGTTGGAGTTAAAGGTAAGCACTTAAGCTGACATTAAGCTCTTGTTGCTGCAAAAATAAAACTGAAAACATAACAACAGCAAAAGTCTGTGCAATACAAGCATCATGCATCACTTCAGAATTCTCGAAACTCACGATTTGTCCTACAGTAGAAATGGGAAAAATCAGGTTCTCATAATTCTCTATGAATGCTTGAACCATCTGAATAAGAAAAGGTGACTTCAATACTACACAAACACTTAAAAATTCATTAGAAAAAGACTTTAGCAAAATAAAATGAAGCCGACAGACTCAGAATATCAACTCTTCTCATAAAAGTTTACCAACTGTACAAGTTAAGAAAATTATACAAGCTTTTGTATTAAGAAAGGACAGCTCAATCAAGACATAAGTTCTGTAAAAATCTTCCAAAGGCTACAAAGAATCTGGAAAAATACAGCATGTATTTCTTAAGCCCAGATAAGAATATGAAAGACATCACTGATGTCAACAATTGTACATACACAAACCTGACTTGGTTTATTTTTTAACTTCTATATATAAAAAAATCATGCTAGCATAACTTTCAGGATTCATAAGGGTTTCCTCAATAATATGACACCCAATTTGTATGGAAAGAAAAATGGTAATGTCTATTTCCTGGTCTACTAGACATTTAAAAAAAAAAAAAAAAGAACAGCAGAAAAGCTGGTGTTAAGCAGAAGATTTTCAAATTAAATACAAACCAACCTTCCCCAGTTCCCACATATCCCACCCCCCCTCCCCCTACCAAACCTCAAACTCAGAATAACAGGATTTGGTATTAAAATATGCCTCTAAAATTCTGTAATAGGATTCTCTGTTGTTAAAGATGAATGTACAGCCTTCGTTGACTATAGGAGTTCTCAATATTTAAAAGGGTCTTTAAAATAGCTGAAGTAAAAAATTCTGCTAAAGGCAGAAGTATACAAACTGTCACCTAAAATTAAAATCCAATTTAAAATGTCAGATTTCAACTGAGTGCTTCAAGGAAATCAACTTAAGGTAACCCATTAACCCTGAAAATTGTAGTCGCACCAGAAATTACTCCAAAGAATAAAAAACAGCCCTCGTATCTAGTCATCTAAGTTTTCCAGTTCTTCAAACTTCCCGTGTGGGATTGCTTCCTGGAAAAACTCTGAAGAGCCTGGGCTCTCTCGGCCATTGCTGCTAACCCTTCGCCTCTTGGCAGGCCTCTCGTTTTTATCATCAAGATAATTTTCATTCTTGGCGGCTCCGTGAGCGAGCTTGAGGTCACCAGGCAGGCCGTCGGCGTCATAGCCATTCGTATCCGCGTCTGCGTGGATGGGCTTCTTGTTCCCACCAGTGGGCCCGTTCATGTGCAATCCTTCAACTCTGACATCATCCTTGCCAGAGACTTCCCCGGGGCCATTTGAGGCGATGCCTGAGCAAAGAAAACACAATGAGTGGTCAGTCTGGTCACTGCAAAATTCCCTGAAAGGCCCAAAAACCAGAGTGCTATTTTGCTGTCTAGTTAAATGACAAAGTAGCATACAATGACTCTAGTACTGACGGGCATCTCTCTATGACATCTCAAACATGAAAAGCACTTTCCACAGTCCAATGTGATACTGAGGAAAAAGTCCAAGTGTTCAGTCCATCTAAAAATTGGATTGAACTGGATTTTAACGCATCTGAAATCTTACCACCACGGGGCTGGGCATTAGGGCTGAAAGCTGCCAGTACAGACTCAAAAGGCCAGCCAACGAGGCCTCCTCCAACAAGGGCCCCGCCACCACCACCTGCAAAGGCCGTGACCGCCATGTTCAGGTGAATGGCCGTGATGTCTGCCTTGCAAGCCTGATGGAGAGGGGCTCCACTGTCACATTCTGGGAGACACCTGGGACAGCCCTTGATAAGGGACTCAAGGTCTGTTCGAGGGTTTTCCCGACATCATTGCTCTCACTCCTCATACCAAGAGTCAGAAACAAACCAATAAAGGGCAGACTCAGCTCTGCCTGGGCAGCCTGAGAGAAGACAGCCATGAGGCAGTGGGTGCCCAAATCCAGAACGAGGCTATAGCGGCAAAGTCATCATTGTGACAATCCTCGGAGGAACAGCTACCATTTATATAGCCTGATAAGGTTTGTCAAGTGCTTCACAAATATTTTCTCATTGGAGCCTCAGGACAACTCAAGGGTAGGTGCTATTATTATGATCCTCATTTTACATCTGAGGAAACTGAGGCAGGCAGGGTCACCCAGCTGCCTGTGGCTGGATTTAAACTCGGGTCTTCCTGACTCCAGGCCTGGTGCTCAATCTACTGCATCACCTCGCTGCCCTCACACGGGCTAAGTTCTTCAGATTGTAATCGGGGCTAGGGGATGGGAAGGAGCATGGAACCATGAACGGAAGCCAAGGGGCAGAGGAGTCTGACCAGGGCAAGCAGCCCCTGCCTCAGAACCCAGGCCCAAGAACACATCAGGGGGTTTTGGCTTTCATATCATCCTGACCGTGCAGTTCGCTAAAATGTCTGATTCTTATTCAAACTATTCATCTAGCTACAACACCCCTAGGTGACAAATGCTTTGCTAAAACCTAGGTCAATTGTTTTTACAGCATTCTCATTCATTTCAATTCGATAAATATTTATTAAGCACCTACCACGTGTCAGGATCCGCAAAGTGCACAGGGCACAAACAAGAAAAGACTGTCTCTGCCTCAAGGAGCTTACACTCGACTGGGGAAGACCACACACAAAAGGAAGCTGATCAAGGCACAGCTTCTTACAGTGCACCTTCTCCACGTTTCTAAGGATGCCTGCATATCCCAATGGAGGCGCCATTTCTCTCCATTCTATTCTGATACGAATTCGCCCTGACAGGGCATCATCACCGTCCACTGAACACAGTCTATCCTTCTGGAGGCCAGTTCTGGCTGTGGGTCTAACGCCCTGACCCTCCTCTCCTCAGTGACAAGAGGGAGGGTCACAGCATCAATGCCCCCCACAGGTTTTTACTGCTGGCCCCTTTCCTGGACACTGTCTCCTGAGAATTTCTGGGCCTCTCTACGGCTATTCTTCTTCCTACAACGTTGCCTGTATCTACTGTTTCTAGCTTGATGTTCGAACACAGAGTTTCCCCTTCCTTTTCCTTCTCCAACCCGGATGTCCCCTGAAGTCTTTCCAGCTCTGAGGGATAACAGATCTTCAAATTTCCAGAGGGTCCACGTTTGAAATATCACACCTCTTCAGAAGAGATGGGGAACCCTGGTCACCCTTTCCCATCCTGACACCTGGCTCACTCCTCACTGAAATCTAAGACACTTACCTGATGGAAAGCTTGTTATGCCATTGGACCATGAATCCTGGCTGTGCCACTCGTTATCTGAGTGACCAAGATGAAGGCGCCATCTTTATTAACAGCAGCTATTTCCAGAGCTGTTTATGAGATCCCTAAGTCTTAAGCTTTTAACACACCTCACAAGGACCCTGTGAAGCAGGGTCTCCAGCTGATATTATCACCACTTACCGACTCTAACCCAGGTGCAGATGCCAAGGTCAAGCAGGCCAGAGCATTGCCTCTTTGCCTGCCATCAGCATCCTCTGACTCTTATCTCCTGGGTAAAGCGAGGGAGTCCAGCTAAATGGTCCCATGGTTTAGGACACTTTGACGTTGACTGCAGCGCCTATGTTCAGGCTCTCTCTGTCTTGGCAAGGCAAGGCTTTGTCTCAGAAGTTCCCCAAAGAGAGAGGCCAATGTTCTAGAAGCCTCGGCTGCTAGCTATGGGACACTAAGACTCATCTGAGATATTTCTGATTAGAAACTGTTCCTACAGGAAATGAAAAGTCACCTTGAAATCTGAACCCTGCTATTTATGGTGCTATGGTGACCCCTGGATGTAGAGTTCAGAAGACCTGGTCTTATGCTACAGGTCACCTCTGATGATCCAGGGAAAGCCTGCCATCCAGGGTCCTAGAAATGTCCATGGCCAGTAGAGCCTGCCAGCCATGTCCCAGGGTCATCTGTGGCTTTTCCTAGGTATCCAAACTGCTCCCTTTGCCCCAAAGACAGTAACCTCCTCCTTCAGAGGGTTTCTTGGATTGCTTACCATTCTGATTACTGTTACTTGCGCCATCTTCTTTCTCTGATTGGCTGGTGCTGCTGTTGGAGGCTGTTGGGGGAGGGGATGGGGCACGGCTGGAGGCAGCACTTTCACTTTCATCTAAGAGCCGGTCCATGTAATCCCTTTAAAAAAAAAAAAAAACAACAAATGAAACAAAACGACATTAAAAACACTCAGCCCTTACGGAAAGGAAGGGTGTCCAAAGATCCAGTGGGATTGTTAATGGAAACAATCTGGGCATGTCTGTGGAAAACCTCTGCTGAGTTATGGGGCAGTAGAATCAAAGGCCAAAACCCTTTTCTTGAGAACAAGACTGACCTGGAGCCTGCTGATCACTTCTGACCAACAACACTCAAGGCGCTGCCCTCTCCTCCACTCCCTCGTGACAGCACTAATTCTCTCCGTGCAGAGCTGGTGCCTCTTGGACCCCACAAAGCCCACACAAAACACCAGAAGAGTCCTTTCATCTCTTCTGCCTTTCCTTCCCTCGTTTGTGAAATGAGAAGCTCAGACCACTTAATCTACGTTAGACCCTCAGTTCTAAAACTCTGAGAATAATGAAATGCAAACTGTTGTATGACTGGCCATAAGCACAGTAGTAATGCAGAAAGGAGAGATTAAGGAAGTGCTGGGGGATTTGAGCTGAGGAAACGCACCCAGGTCTAGAAGGTGACCATCTCACTGGGGTCTGCCCTGGCCAGATGACATGTGGGGTGTGAGGTTCAGTACTGGGTGCCCCCTTTAGGAAGCACAATGACAACCTGGAGCATGTCTAGGAGAGCAATTCTAACAGTCAAGCTTCACTATGGTGCCATGTGGGGACAGGGAGACAGAACTTGGGATGTTGTGATTAAAAAGAGAGGACGTGGAGGAGGGGATGATGACAGATGTCTCTGAGTATCTGAAGGTTCCTCCTGCCAAAAAAAGAATGAGAGTAGCCATGCTTAGGCCCCAAGAGCTGGATCAGGGGCAATGGCAAAAGTTAGATCGAGGCAGGGCAGAACAGTGAAAAGAGCACAGGTTCTAGAATCAGAGGAGCTGAGTTCAAATCCCCCATTGATACAACTTGTGTGACCTTGGGCAGGTCCCCTAAGCTCCCTGAGCCTCAATCTGCTCATCTACAAAGTCACAACTGTCCCAGCATTGCCCACCTCGTCCAGCTGTGGTAAGAAAGCTTCCCGTCAAGCTCAATGATGGACACGCGCAGAAGTGCATGCACACACACATGCACACGCACCCACCAGAGAAGAGCCTGTGTAACAGTGCAGGTGTGAGGTACCAATGGCTGGCCCAGGAGGGTGTCAGGAGTCAGAGAAAAGAAAGGACTACATGGAGCGATTTCAAAGGAAGAAAGGCTGGTGGAGGATGATGATGATAACAACAATGGTTGGTATTTCTACAGGGCTTTACAAATAGTACCTCCTTGGAGGAACCTGAGGCAGACGGGGCTAGGGGACTTGCCCAGGGTCACTCAGCTGGGCTCAGCGCTCTCTCCACTGAACCAGCTGGGGAAGGAGTAATCAGACCTTTCTCTGGAAGAAATGAACACAGGCGGATCCATCAGGGACCACGATGTGGGACAGTTTACTAACACTTTGGGTAAATGATCTGAAAAGCTAGGTACACGGGGCATCAACTGTTCTAGGTAGTCGACGTCAACCTGATGGGATCAAGGATTGTTGGTGACAGCGCAGCCCCCCGGGGAAGTCTCCACAGCTCCACTGCCTGGGTCTGACACAGTCCTACAGAATGCAGCAGAAAATCAGGCCCTCAGGACTTCTTCAGAACCTGGTAGCTCAAACACGATTTTGTAAGGCTTTGTGTAGGCAACTTCAATGTAACATAAAAGGCATGTAGGAAAAATAGATAGGCATAACTGTTCAGGATGAAATAGTATGAATATGACATAGAAGAGAGACCAGAGAGTCGCTCTCAAATCTTGCCCAAACACAGGGGTTTGCTGTGCTGCTGCAGGACCCCCAGGGATGGAGAAACTCCAGGTGGGCTCAGCAAGAAAACGCAGGACTGGAAAGGGTATGGGCCAGTCCTGTAGCAAGAGCCAGGTGGGATGACTGAGGGCCAGCAGAACGCTGGGCTGGCGTCAATCAACTACAGCCAGGAGGAACAGCATCAACTTGCAGGGAGGCTCTATCCCCGCATGCGGACGGCGAGGCCATGGTGGAAAAGAAACAGAGAGGGTGGCAATCTCCACTAGTGGAAGGTGCACACCTGAGGATGCAGGGAGAAAGCCCAGGAGGAGGGTGAAGGTTAATACCCAATAAGAAGGCATGACCAAGAACAATGGACTTTCACAAAATCTAGCACTGGGGATCTCTGAAGAAATCAAGCCACTGTGTAATACTGCTCTATACAAAATCCCAAGTTTGGCCCTTGATACAACTATGTGGGTGTTTAGTCCATAAAGCACGGAAGCAGCAACGGGGCAGGTCTGCTGGGCCTCCTCTACACAGGCTCACCAGCAGGCACCAGTCAGAATATGATTATAATCAGGGTCAGACAAGAGCCTAAAACTGAAAAACACTGCTGTGCTTTATCTGACTCAAATGACTCCTGGTAAAGTGACTGCTGTTTGTTTTTGTTAGACAATACACTGGGCTTTGAGGAGGCTCAGATGACATTTTGATCAAATAAAAAATTGATACAAAGTATTTCTGATGCTACGAACTTAGAATTAACATGCTGAAATTCTACACTATTAGCAAATATAATCATATTTTGCAATTTCTGGAAAATAAGCATGCTGGCAGAAGCAAACAAGTCTTCTTTTGCATTCTGAAATCGTAATCATCTGGGACAAAATATCTCATATTGTAAGTATTTATAGTAACAAAGTGCCAGTATCAAGGGGCTCAATCCCAAAGACAATGATTAGAGGGCAGTCAAATTAAACAAGGCTTCCAGGAGCGCTGGGGGGCAACTGAATTCAATGTTTTAAAAACAAAACATTATAGTTTATCTATCAGATTTATGGAGAACAGAAGAATTCATGACCAAACAGGCGATAGAGAACATTACAAAATGCAAAATGGATAACTTTGATTACATTAAATTGAAAAGATTTTGCACAAAGAAAGCCAATGCAACCAAGATTAGAAGGAAAGTAGAAAATTGGAATTTTTATAACCAGTCTCTCTGACAAGGGCCTCATTTCTAAAATATATAGAGAATTAAGTCAAATGTATAAGAATATAATTCATTCCCCAATTGATAAATGGTCAAAGGATATGAACAGGCAGTTCTCAGATGAAGAAATTAAAGCCATCTATAGTCACATGAAAAAAAATCACTATCAATTAAAGAAATGCAAATCAAAAAAATTCTGAGGTATCACATCAGATTGGCCAACATGACAAAACAGGAAAATGATATGTTGGAGAAGATGTGGGAAAATTGGAACACTAATGCATTGTTGATGGAGTTGTGAACTGATCCAACCATTATGGAGAGCAATTTGGAATTATGCCTAAAGGGCTATAAAAATGTGCCTACCCTTTGACCCAGCAATAGCACTTCTAGCGCTTATCCCAAAGAGATCATACAAATGGGAAAAGGACCCACATGTACAAAAATATTTATAGCAGCTCTTTTTATGGTGGCAAAGAATTGGAAATTGAGAGGATGCCCACCCATTGGGGAATGGCTGAACAAGTTGTGGTACATGAATGTAATGGAATACTATTGTACTATAAAAAAAGATGAACAGGCAGACTTCAGAAAAACCTGGAAAGACTTGTATGGTCCGATGCTGAGTGAAATGAGCAGAACCAAGAGAACGTTGTACACAAAAACAGCCACGTTGTATGATGGCTAATACTGATAAACTTAACCCTTCCCGGCAATACAAGGATCTAAGACATCTCCAAAGGCCTCATGATGGAAAATAGTATCCACATCCAGAGAAAGATCTACGGAGTTTGAATGCAGATCGAAGCATACTATTTGCTGTTTTTTTCTTCTGTTGTGTTTTGTTTCCTCTTTCTGCTGGTTCCTCCTATTGGTTCTAATTCTTACTTACAACATCACTAATGTGAGAATATGTTTAATAGGAATGTATATGTATAGCCTATATTAGATTGTGTGCCATCTTGGGGAGGGAGGTGGAGAACAAGTTAAAACTCAAAAGCTTACGGAAGTGACTGTTGATAAATCAAAATAAATTAATAAAAAAAAATTGCATGAGGACAGTTAACTAGGTTACCAACAAAAGCCAAATTTTCTTACATACTAGGCACAAGTTTACATTTCAATGCAAGACGAAATTTAAAAAACAAAACAAACAAATCTAAGGGCAAAATCTTTCAGTACCACAGGAGTTAGAAAACTTATCTAACTAATTTTCCAGTATTATTCCTGTGAGCAAAAAGGTTCAGGAAATCTCAGGGAAGGGAGAGCACCTATTCAGAAGTTACTGAGTGGTATCACACTCCCCACAGAAATGATCCCTGTGGCCACATATCGACTTAGAAAACTGCCAAATAACATGATCTAGATTTTAATGTATTTTTATTTATTCTGTTGGACATTTTGGAATTATGTTTTCATCTTCAGGCCCAAGGGTCTCGACACCTCTGCACTGTGACACCTGCTTCTCTGTTCTGAAGCTTGTGCAAGACAGAAAGCTTCCTCCCTCGATCAATCAGGCATCTGCTGGTCACAAGAAGAGCTCTGGCTCTTAAGAGCATCACTTACAATCCGGCTCTACCCAGAGCCCAGGAGCTCCCCGTCCACCTGCCTTCCTCCCCCTGGCGAGGCACTCATGCAGCCTGGCGAAAATGGGGCTCCAGTCTCTGCCCTGTCACTTCCCGGCTCTGTTACCTGGGTAGGTCACTTACCTGTCAGTCTGATCCTGCTTCCATGGGGGTAATACTAGTACCCAAAGTGAATTCTACTGAATATTCCAGTTACCGATTACAAAGTGGTTTATAAACTCACAGAGTACCCAGGGATGCTGGGAGAACCTACCATGTGAGCTGTTTACATTGCTGAGATGAGCCCATCACCCCCTCTACCCAGTCCTCCCAGGTGCCGTGGCTGCTGCTGTCCAGCTGACCGCCTGTTCCCCTTCCCGTTCTCTTGGTTTCCTCTCAAAAATGTCCAGGTGGTCATCCGTGTGACAGTGTGTGCTGCCTTGTGCACCACCACTGACTTCCTCACTGGGGTGGCCTGTGAGCTCACTTCTGCCAACTTTCCCTCATGTCCTGTGATTGAAAATGATCTTTAAAATCCCGCTCCCTCCCAAGGGTGAGCTGATAAAACCATCACAGTTGTCACTTTGTTCAGTTTACTCTTTTCCATGTATTTAAAGTTTACTTGCATATCCAGTCTGGGTAAAAACTAAATTCAGTCTTTCTTCTCTTACTTGTTTCATTCATTAGAGATCTTAAATCACTAGTAAGAGACAATTATTAACATCAATACTAGATAATGATCAATGTAGAAACACACATACAAGTCCCCTAAACGTCTTATAAAATGAACACAATCTATCAAAATGACCATTCAGTTACTATTTATCTGAAACTAAGACTCTAAGTCCACTGCACTTCTGTCAAGGCCCAGCACTCAGAACAGCGGAAGGAGCAGAAGGCAAGAGGTGAATAAACAACAGGGCACTCACGTCACACCAGGATGAAGATTGTATTTCTTTTTTCCAAACCGTGTCTGCTGAGCAAAGAAATCATAACGTTCAGATTTCTTCCACATGTAATAAAACGCGACGCACTCCCCAACGGACCTCGTTCGGACCTGGGAAACACAAACGTGTGATTTAAATTGCATTCTTTTCCTCAAGAGTCCTGTTTCACTTTTGGGAACAGAATTTCTCAAGGTAAATTTGCCTGGTCCTTAGAAGAGCCTTTAATGACCATTTAATTCCTAAGACAATGCTTTCTGAAGCTACTTTTACTAAGAACACCTTGAAAACATTGAACGCTTTACATCATAATACAGTACTTTCAAATTCCCACCCACCATGAAAGGCACTCCACACAGAACATCTCTTGAGGAACATCGAGGTTTACAATTAGCATGCTAAATAAAGCAGCACACAGACATGTTTACCCCACAGGATCAAGGGATTCCAACTCTACTGTCTCATTCAAAAAGATCTCTACTAACCCACAACAAACTGCTCCAAATTCAGCTCATCTACCCTCCAGAAGGAAAAGGGCTGAGAACGTCCCACTGCCATAGAAGACTCACTGTCATCAGCAGTTACGCTTGGCCCCTGAATCCCTCCCCTCGACGGCATCCCCTCAGACTATGTGCTCCGATCTGGAGGGGTGAGTTGGTTTCTAGGTGGTAACCAGAGGACTCTAAGCACCTCATGCAGCCACCCCAAGAAGGTCCGTCACTTGCTCCAGCGTACAGCTGAGGCCCGGCCAGCCCCTAATGTTCCCCAACATATTACGGGCTCTGGATCAGTCCCTTCTGCTGGCTGGGCCTCAGTTTCTTCAGCTCTCTCCTCCTGACCCCTGTCCTTCCCCCAGCGTGGTCACCACCGTGAGCCCTGGGCTCAAGCCTCACTTGGCTACCATGAGGGTCCTCGCTGTTGCTTGCCGGGGGGAGGAGGGAGCTCGAGTCTCTGTCACCCAGGCAAGAAGAGCAGCATCTCCCCATGCCCTCCGAGTGCACTGGATTGGTTTCTGATTTGGCGCAGACACTGGACTGGCTTCGCAAGCACAGTGAAGAAGCTCAGAGCTCCCACGCTCACCAGCTCCCAGCCTCAGGCACCCTCATCGTAAGGATCATAAGTAGAAGCCACCGGCCTGGGCGCAACAACTTGTACTTGTAAAACCCACTCATGCAATTTATGTTCACTAAATGACACAGTATTCCCAATTCTAGGGACTTCTTTAGTTTTCTGGCTAATTTTAATTCTATTAATACTACGCTTATCAGGGGCAGCTAGGGGGTGCAACAGTGCACAGGAAGGCCTGAGTTCAGATCCAGTCTCAGACACTGACTAGCTGGTGACCCTGGGCAAGACACTGAACCTCTGTCTGCCTCAGTTTCTCCTCTGTATAACGGGGATAATAGCACTTATCCCCCAGGGTTGTTGTGAGGATCCAAAGAGATAGTAAAGCACTTAGCATAACGCCTGGTATATAGTGAAAGCTACTATTACCTATCATTGTTCACATTTTCCAGGAGACGAGCAACTCAGGAGTTTCTTCCATTTTGAAAAATGTGCAGTTACTGTCAAACATTTAACTCGCTTCAGGAATACCAGTAAAGGAGCCCAGACTAAATGGGCACAGGATCACTAAGGTTCTTTGGGGAACATGTGCTTAATGACTGATGCCACTGATGTAAAATCATAAATGCATATGAAATAAAGTTATCAAACTGTAACATGATGATGATTTATAGGCTCATTAGCTTACCCTGGAAACAAATGATGCAATCACCCAAGTAGAACAGTGTCTGTCTTAATGTTTAACTTGTTTTCAGTTCATTTGTCATGTAAGTCTGTGTATTAACAATGCTACTGAATACTTATACGGTGTCTCAGCTCTAAAATGCGTCATGTTCTTTCAAATCATTTACTCCCAACACAGCCCCCAAATAACCCGGCCACAACTTTGAGAAGCAGCAATACAGACAATTAACAAAAGGAAGAAAAAAAAAAGAAAATACATTTTCAGTAACCTGATCAATATTCCTATAAAAAAGGCTATTTTACTGCCCTTTGAGCGTGAACACAAAGCACAGGCGAGTGATGCCAACCAGGGTAAACATGCTCAACCCCTAATTCCCTAACGACCAAAGAATCTGCATATTTATTAGAACCACATTAAAGAAAGGATGACAATAAACAGGAAATTAAAATTGACACAGAAGAAATCACGTCAGCATTAATATGAATTTGGTTTATGTGGAAAGAACATTTTATCGTCACTCACCTTGTTAGCCTGAATTAAATGAAAATCCTTCCCATACGCTTTCAGGCCTTGTTCAAAATTCCTGCATTCTTCCTCTGTCCAAACAGACAGTTCTTCTGCAATAAGAAAGCTGCATTTTAAGATGTTTCTCAAATGTAAAACATATTAAAAACAGTAAAATGAAACCACTTTTGGGAAAGGGGGAGATTTCTCAAACAAAAACGAACAGGCTATTACTGAAGACTTGTAGACTAAGGGTAAAGTTATTCAAGTCCCTGGGCTGGCCAGGTTTTAGAAAATCATCCATCCTGTTTCCTGCCTGTGATCAAGCTGTTTTATTAATCAGAAGGTTCTCTTCCCTCTGTCCATCTGTACAGATCCGCAGCATTCTTCAAGCTATGAAGGATGCAAGTCTCATTCATATCACCCCTGGACATCTGTTGTGGATTATAACCATGCGATGGTCAAAACGACACTGAAAGTCTCTGAACAAAGTTCACTGTCTGCTCTGGCAAACAACGAGATAGCTTCTAGTGTTTTAAATGTTTTACAGAGGCAATGAATTTACACTTTCCTTAGCATCTTCCACAGCGCCTGGGACAACAACGTACGACGCCCTTGATGAGCACTCGAGAAGCATTTGCTGAGTGGCATCAGGATGCCCGAATGATCCAGGCTAGACTGCACTCAGCCTAAGAGGAAACTTTTGTTTCTTCATCTGAGAATGAGTTCAAGTGGCCATTTCAATGCATACTTACCTCTAGCTGCCTTCACATTAAACCTTAATCTCCTGAGGGCTTCTTCTGTATCAAAATTGCATTTCACCAATTCATAGAGGGCCTAGAAAGATAAAAGGGTTAAATGTAATGCTTGCTTTGGAAGCAATAATAGTTCAAGCTAGAATTGCTGAATGACTGTGAAAAGATACCCTGGGCCCAAATATTCCATCTTTCCTGGAGGATTAAGATCCCTCCACATAGTGGGGGCTTCCACAGAGTGCTTGAAGACAGCAAGGCAAACAGCTGTGGCCCCTGGGCACAGCCAATGTCCTTTGGTGGACAAAGATGGTACACCAAGTCACAAGAGCCAAGGGAGACGATAGGTGTGGACGCCAACACTAGTGGTTGCTCTAGAAAATGGAGCAGCCAGCCTTCGCTTGACAAATAATCTTAGCTTCTCCTCTGATCTTTGTGAAGAGAGGTGTGCTCATGCTCTCTGTATATGCTGCTTTCTACTGGACTGTCAAAGATTGTAATCCAGGGGAACCCTGCCTGCACAACTGACAAAGCTTTAAAAATCTACTTTTTTACTTCAAGACTTTTTTTTTTTTTTAAAAGCAATTGAGGTTAAGTGACTTGCCCAGGGTCACACAGCTAGTAAGTGTTAAGTGTTTGGTCTGAGGCCAGATTTGAACTCAGGTCCTCCCGACTTCAGGGCCAGTGCTCTATCCACTGTGCCACCTAGCTGCCCCTAAAAAGACTTTTTTTTTTTTTTTTTTTTTACAAAGTCCTCTTACCTTCTGGAAGGGAGGCCAGCCTGTACTTTGACCAAAGTTACGTGTGATACACAGATTATGCTCATTGTTATGGCAGATTAGTACTTGTTTTCATACTTTGTTGAAGTGAGATCCCAAAGCTGTATAGTCTCCACCATGGGCCACTGCCCAGACACAAGTGATCGAGCTTGTTAGGAGCTTTTTCCATGCTTGTTTCCAATTTTTCTAAGAACACTAGAGATGGTGATGTCAAAGTCCAAATTGTAGTGGGGCTCAACTGTCCACACCAACATAAAGGGAGGGCATGAAAATCTGGGTAAATCATGGGAATGTGGATTTGGAGCCAGAAAGGAACTGAGATGTCAGGTCATTTAGGGGAATCTCTCCATTTTACACATAAGTAACTGACGCCCAGGGCAGCAAGGTGGCACCGTGGTTAGAGTGTGGGACCTGGAGTTAGGAACACTCATCTCCCTGACCTCAAATCTGGCCTTAGACACTTATTAGCTGTGTGGCCCTGGGCAAGTCACTTAACCCTGCTGGTCTCAGTTTCCTCATTTGTAAAATGAGCTGGAGAGGAAAATGGCAAACCACCACTCTGGTATCTTTGCCAAGAAAACTCCAAATGGAGTCACAAAGTGTTGGACACGACTGAAGAATGACTCAACAGCTGAAAACTGAAGCCCAGAGAGGACAAGTAATTGGTTCGAGGTAATACAAGGCATTAGTTGCACAGCTCAACTAGAACCCAGGGCCCTGGCCTCCAAATGCAGCAGCTTTACAGCACAGTCCTTTGCGATATTTGCTGTCCACTTCTATCTTTAAGTGCTCTTGAATAGATTTTGCTTTTCTGGATCACTGAATTCTGCTTTTCACTGTTTTGACACTTTTCCTTGCTTCTACTCAAAAGCTGGGAACCCTTCGGTGTGCCACATCTTTCCACTTGGCTGGTGAATTAGGTATTTGTTGCCTGGGGTGGTTTTTAGGCTCATTTGGTTTCCTCCCTATAAAAACTGATTTATACCCATTAAGCTTCCATGTGAAATTGTTACAAAGTTACGTAAGGACCCGATTATGTCCTTTCTTCCTTTTCTGACTTTGGATACCTGGTTACCTGAAGAGCTGTTTTAATGGCATTTTTTCTTCTTTGTCTTCATTCCTTTAGTTTTCTTAAAGCATGTTTTTCTCTTTTGTTTTTACATTATCTTGCCTTCCTTAGTTCTCATTCTCCTCCTCTCTCCAGAAGAATATAAAAAAGAGGAGAAAGAGAATAAAACAATCCGCAAACCTGCTCAACACACTGAAAAATGTTCTTACAGTGATTTGCACTCACGGACCCAACCTGTGCAAAGGCATTCGGGAAGTTCTCTTCTCTTCTCTCTTCTCTGGGGCCAAGATCCAGGTTCCAATGTTGATGATGACCGTGTTCTTCCCACTGACATCACTGTGGTCCTTGAGGCTCTTACTCGTCTTCGCTCTGCTCGCTTTGCATCTGTTCATGTAAGTCTCCCAAGGCTTCTCTGTATTCTCCACCTTCCCTTTTCTTACAACACAATTTCTTTACATTCATGTATCACAATTAGTTTCCCATTCCCCAAGGGACTGACATCAACTCTCTTCCCAGTTCTTGGCTACCATGAAAAGGGTTGCTATGAAGATCGTGCTCTCTATAAAGTCCTGTTTTTTGGTCGATGACCTCATTGGGTTATACGTCTAGCACTGGAATCTCTGCACCAAAGGCCATGGACATTTTAGTCATGTTACTTATATAACTACAAATTGCTTTCTTTCCAGAATTACTGTACTTATTCACAATCAATCAGTCAATTAGCCAACAAGTATTTACTAAGAACCTGTACTACACAAGTTGGGGAAACAAGGATGAAGAATGAAATGATCTTACATTCTAATGGGGGACATCCCAAGTACATAAAATGTATCCAGCATAACTATAAAGTGAATAAATGCAAATATATACAAAGTAGTTAAATATAAGATAGTTTTGGAAGGAACGTTCTACTGGCGGATCAGTGAAGGTTCCATGCAGAACATGGTATGTGAGCTGCATCTTAAAGAAAAAGGGGAACTCTATGAGGCAGAGACAAAGAGGAAGCCCATTCTAGGCCTGGAGGACAACCAGGACAAAGGCCCAGGGGCAGGAGATGGACAGTCATGACAGAGGACCAGAGAGAAAGCCACTGTGATTGGATGGCAAAGTAGATAAGGGGGAATAATCTCCCTGGAGGCTGGAAAGGCAGGTTGGAGCCAGGCTGGACAGGCCTTTAAAAGCCAAACAGAAGAGACTTCATTTTATATAGCTAGAGGCCGTAGAGAGCTACTAAGTCACACAGGCCAATCTGGGTTTCAAGTCAATCGTTTTGGCAGCTGTGTGTAGGACGGCCTGGAGTAGGGAGAGATAGAAGACAGGGAAACTAGTGAGGAGGCTACAGGTGAGGAGAGAGAAAGGGCTCAGATGGGGGAGATGCTGCACACTTCCTCCAATACAGATGGAGAAACCAAGGCAGACAAAGGCAAAGTGACTTGTGCAGGAAGCACCTGAGGCTCACCGTCTATAGCATCTTTTGTGTCTTGGCTATGAAAGCGTTCGTGAGGCAGAGACGTGAGGCGCCCCTGCTGTTGTTCAGTCTTTGGGGTCCCCCCCTGTCCCTTGCTTCTGTAACCTATTTTCCAACATGTTTTTCATTGAACTTGTCAAGTCCCACCTTCACACCGGTCATCGAACATCCAAGTATACACTGGTTTCCATTTCCATTTGCAGCAAAACTGATGTTGGCGCACACACTGCCATTATTCCAGTGGTAGTCTTTCTGCAGCTCCTTATCACGAGTCCTGAATCCTAAGACGATTAAAGGCCCAATGGAAACACGATGGGGCCAAGTCTGCTCCTTCTCTCTTTGTTCTCCAAGGAGAACCTGTGAGTCAGCCTTCCATTTGGCCTTCTTCTGTCTTCTGTGGGGTTTCCTTTAGCGTAAGAATGTCGAGATCAATACAAGGAAGGACCCCAGCAGTGAAGGTGTCCACTGGTCAGACACTGGCCAGGGAACCCACATAGAGAACACCAAAAGCCAAGTGAAAGTTTATAAACGGTATTGAAACTGCTGTGTTGCCACCAGTGAAGCAGCCAAAGTAGTCCCCCCACAGGGCTCATGGGACCCTTCTGTAGTTGTCTCTGTTCATGGATTGCCACAGCCAAGAAGCCAGCCTGCTTCCAAGGACATTATCTACACTTCAAAGTTCATAGAAGGTCACAGGAGGTAAAATGGGGTCACAAAGAGTCAGACGGGACTCAGACGACTGAACAACAAGAACACAGGAGATGAAATCTAGGAATGAAGTCGGCAAACCAAACCTCTGGTCCCAGAGCACTATACACAGACGGAGAGGAATGGGACAGCAACAAAGAGAGCAACCAAAGACATGACATTAAGAGGCAAACAAGGCCTCAGGGGTATTAGAAACATGGCGGCTCAGGCCTTGGGACTAGAATCCAGTGCTTTTTAAGAATAGGAATGGTTAAAAAGTGAGAAGTAAAGGCAGGGCAGAAATAACTGGGTAGGCTTATCTGAGGGAATCCAGGAGCTAGAGAGGGAAAGGAGGATACAGAGCCTGTTGGGAGGACATGGAATCACAGAAACAGAAGCAGCTGCACCCCAAATCTGGCATGAGGGACACAAGCAATGAAAACTTGGGTCATCTGGATGGCTTCTAGAAGTCTTTCAGACAAAAATTGAGCAGGGTTGCCTTTTTTTTTTTAAAAAAACAACTGGGGTTAAGTGACTTGCCCAGGGTCACAAGGTTTGCCTATCTTAATGACATATTTCATTCTTCAAAAGTCAGAGGAGCCAAGCGGCTCCTGATCACCACCAGAAGAAGGTGAGAGTTAAGAGGGAAGAAATGACTGGAACCTTGGAGAGAAAGGATGACTTCAGTTCAGCCTCTGTGTCTAGGAGAAAGGAAAGCTGGGCACATATGAAGCATGAAGTTTTTGGAGAAAGGTTTTCAAAGAGTCCAAAGAAAGGATAGGGTATGATCCAATGGATTAAAATTCCACAGAGGACAGGCAGGCCTGGAAGGGTGTGCAGCTCTCCAGAATAAAACTGTGAGCCAGAGAGACAATTCCACTGAACAACAGCAATTACATTCCAGGCAAAGGCGGAATTTTCTGATATGGATAGGGAGGGAACTTATCAAAAACAGTTAAAAGGACATCAACAGAAAACAGAAGCACAAAAAAAGGACAATGAGCTCATCACTGCCCCCTCCCCTCAAAAAAATCCCAACAGAACTAGAAAATTTACTAGACTAAATCTTAATCAGAAAATTAAAGAAAAAATATTATAGTGAGTCATTTTCCAACCCAGGTCAGCCTAGGGAAATTAAAAACGCCTCCCTTGATTCTTCCACGCTGTTAAGTACTAACCTACACCTCTTCTGCCCTTTGTGGCTTCTCTCCCTGAAAGCCGCAGCAGAGTCCTCCACTGTCTCTCTTCTCCCCTCACGGTATCTCCAGGTTTTTGGGACACATCTCTCTCCTGCTTCTCCTCCTCGCTCACCATTCCCCTTTGCTCTCTTTGGCTAGATCCTAGCTTCATGGATTTAATTACCTTCTTTATGCTAACGTTTCTCAAATCTACCTTTCCCGCCCAAACGCCCTGCAGACCTCCCATCTCCCATCTCTAACTTCACCTCAAACCGGATGTCCAGTAGACATTCTAAACTCACCACGCCCAAAATGGAACTCAGTAGCTTTCCCTGTAACAGCTCACTTCCCGCTCATCTTTCCTGTTCTCACAGACGGCACCACCGTCCTCCTCGACCCTCAGACTCACAACCTAGAAGCCATCCTGGATTCCTCACTCTCCCGCAGCCCCCACATCCAATAAAGTGCCCAGACCCCTTGATTTCAGCTCTGCAACTTCTCTCCTCCGGTGCAGGCCCTCCTCACCCCACACCCGCATTACTGCACTTGCAGCTGCTGGAGGTCTGCCTCCGCTCAGCCACTAAGCTCAGGTCTGACGGTGTCACCCCCTTAACTCAATACACCCTAGCAGCTCCATCACCACCAGGATCACATACAAAATGTTCTGTTGGGCATTCAAATACTTGCATCACCTGGCCCCCTCCTCCCTTTCCAGTCCTCTCACATCCTTCCTCTCTCCATCTACTCTACGACCCAAACAACACCCTCATCTCTCGGTTGAACCAGAAGAGCTAAGTAATTTAAAGAGTAAATATGATTATCGTGAGAACCCACCATTAGTATTCAAGATCAATGCCACCTCATACACAATAGTGTACTTTGTGGATTCTATTTGTTTGATCCCATTGCTTTGCAAGTAAAACTATCCTTACCAAGAAGATCAAAACAAGAAACAAACCCCGCCCCCCCCAAGCCACACTCTTGCAACACTTCATTGTCTAATGTATGTTACAGCTGCTATTCCACCTAAATTATCAATTATCTTAGTGTTTTAGCAATCAATTCAACGTGAGATTATCCCTAACAGGCAGAGTCCTAGGTCAATGATTCCAATTCTTGGCTCCAGTGGAGAGCAGGTTGATTCTATAACTGTTGTGCACTTAAAAACTGAAAAGGACAAAAATACATTTAATAGCTGTCAGTGAGATTACACAGAGGGGAGGGCGCCTTCATTAGTTAATAGTTATTCATGTACCTGCTCATTGTCTTTTATGTGACAACCTTCAGGAATTGCTTCTACCCCTTTCTCATCTCCTGTTCGTCTGGATGCTTCATTAAGAAATTCAATCACTTTATCTTCCAACAAGTAGTCAGGATTCCACAGAAGCTGGTCATCATTTTCATATACTAAAATAGTGAGACATAAAATAGAAAAATAATTCTCAAAAAAATGAAACAGTGATGGATTCCTACACCTACCTCACACTGTTCCATATTTCTAGCCTACATTTGTCTTCTACTCCCAATTCCCAGGGCTATTTTGGGATTGCGCATTAGAAGCACAGGGGGCCCACTTCCCTGCACCTATTTCAGGACTGCGTTGGTGCCCATCCTGGCCATCTGTAACCTGAGCAGGCGCAAAGGAACTTGGGAAGTTCTTTCAAGTCTAACCATGGCCCTCCTATACTCCAATTCCACTTCTTTCCAAACGCTGCCAATACTTCTCCTCTACCATTCTTTTACCTCATATTCACTCCCAAACACATCCCTCCCCTCCTCAGTGACCTCTTCCGTTGCAACAAGGACGAGGAAAAAAACATTTCAACAAAATCATTCACAACATCAACTGAGCCTGGGGTGAACTCATCACAGGCAGTTAGGTGTCCTTATTCTCCACTTGTTATTATCCATTTTTCTTCCATCCTTTCTAGTCCTAAGATGCTGGCAGAGAAAAGAGAATCAAATTAAGAGCTGAGTACCGGGGTCCTTTGTCACTGATTCTCGTCATCTCATCCATTTCCAGGCAGTGGCCTAATCATCAATTTCCCACTGTACCCTATAGGCAACGACTTGCCTTTCTGTCTCCACGTCATTTTCTAAGCTGTCTTACTAGTGTAGAACGACCTTCCTTTGCATGGCTCCCAAATGAGACTCTTCTTAAAATATAACTCTAGGGTTATCTCCTCAAGGAAACTGCCCAGTGACCTCCATCAGTTTTCTAACCTTCCAGGACAATCTCTGGAGTGAGGGCACTCCAAAATAAGCTATCTTATTTGTATCTACAAAGTTTGTTTTGCTTTCCTGCCCAACTGAAATCGGTGACTATAGCTGTTACTACCTTATAAACAAGCCAGTTTTATTTGACTCTAAGTGCACATAATGTATGATGAAAAAAAAAACCCAACAAGTTAAACTACATGGTTATTTTATAATAATGATGATGATCATGTAATCGGAACTTAACTAAGGGCCATTGCTACCCCACAGTGCCTTTCTAGTTCCAGGCATTTCCAAATTATTTCTACTTTTGATTGTATAGTAAACGTAACTGACATTTAAAAAATGTCAAAAGAGCTGACACTTACCAAAAGAATAAGACATCAAAACATGAATGAGGAAGATAACCTTCCTGAGAAGAAATCTACTGCCTGGCTCCCCTTGTAACCAATGCTATGTAGCTGGGGGCTGTTAAGCTAGGTGGCATCTATGACTATACATGTGTACTGACCGGGCTGGTCCAGTGCGTGGGGTGAATCTCTCTCACTTGCTTAGGGAAAACATGTTATTGTTCTTAAGTGTTTTTAATTTAATTGAATTGAACAGGCATTTATTAAGAATCACTTCCATCTCTGGCCATGTGTGCTAGGTGCCTGAGATACAAAGGCAGAAAGCAACTGGCCCTGACTCTAAAGAAGTGTAACACTCTACTAGCAAGGAAAAACAGGTACAAAGTGAAGGAAATACAAACTGCCTGGGATTGGGCAGAAGATTATTAACAAGTGAGGGGATCAGGAGAAGCCTCCGTTAGGAAACAGAACCTGATCTAAGCCTTGAAGAAAGACAGGAGCTCCCAGAGGTGGCCTAAAGTCCTGGACCTGGAGCTAAGAAAACCTGTGCTCAAACCTTACTCCTTAACTGTGTGACCCTGTGCTTACAATAAACATTGTCAGCCTCAGTTTCCTCATTTATAAAATGGGCATCAGAGCAGCATCTTCCTCCACAGGGCTGTTGTGACAGGTCACAGGAGACATATGTGCAAAAAGTGACATATAAATGCTGGCTGTCATCATTACTGTTGGGAGGATGACCTGGAAACAGAACAGGGCACAGCGAGCAGGCAGGCCAGATGGGCTGGACTGTGGCTAAGTACGTGAAGAGGTACAAGCCCATCTGTTTGGGAAGCGAGGCTCAAGCCTTTGGAGAGACAGGGCTTCAAATGCCAGAAAGGCTCTTCTTTTACCCTGGCACTAGGGAGCCCAAGAAAGCATCAGGGCTGGATTGAAGTTTGAGGAGTAGTGACTTGGCTATGCAGATGGGAAATCTATGGGAGAAATTTGGGACCCAAGACGAAGAGAACAGTAGATTCCCATCTCACACTCCCTGCCAGCTTGTGCTCTGCGTCTCTTGGTTACAAGGGAAGGCAGACTGCATTTTTTCTTAGGGACTTTATTATCTTCTCATTAGTGTCTTGATGTCTTACTCTTTTGGTAAATGCCAGTTATTTTGAAAGTATCTCCTCGGTTTAGTGTAATTTGAACTCTGAGCCACACCGCCAAAAACAATGACTATCTGGGGACAAACCTTCTCAAAACTTGTCAGAGACAATCAACACACATGGCTCCCAGTCTCAAGCTTTTCAATTTGGCTGGACCTGTAAGAACGTGTACTCTAATGCCTTGTACCCAGAGAACTCTGGGTCCCTCCCTTGTCATGATAAGGCACTGGAAATAAGAACTTGAGCAAGCAGAAGGCTGTTAATGTGATGGTCTTGATTAGCTGGATTAATGTGGAATCTTTACTGGACTCACTGCACCTCCCCTCTCCCCACTGTTTAAACATTGCAGCACTACAGTCTACGGATGACTTGAGGCTCTTTCAAGAGCATTTATGACTAACTGAAATCCCCTTCACCTCTGACTTGAGAAGTTAGAGCCAAACATCTGCATAAGATGTAACTACACCAGGTACCACTAATGTTCATCTCCTTCTCCTATTCAAACGTGCGGGATCTCATCCCCAATCCCAGCTCTGTAACCACTAACTTGGATTTACTTCATATAGAGTTTTGAACCTATTCATATGGTACATGTTGTTTCAATAAACCAAGGGAATGCTGTCAAGACTAAGATTCTTAAGATATAAAGGAAAATAATTCTGATGAGGAAGAAAGGAGCGAACTGTCTAACAAGAACAATGTAGATATGGGGAAATATCAAGTAACTTAGATTTATGATGGACACAAGGCTGGGTAACTGGATAAAAAGAAAAGCATCAGGAGCACTAAGGATGAGAATCTGAAGAAAGCTAAGGACAATAAAATATTTTTAAAGCAATATTGGGGGAAAACAGGAGTACCAAAGAAGGGACAGAAATGCTGCTTTGGCAGAATGGGATGATAATACAGTAAGACAGAAACAGCTACTTAACTTATATATTCTCTGCCAAAGAGACTAGCAGCAAAAGTCATCATGATGCAGAGCCTTGGTGTGAGACTCCAATAGAAACAGACTGCTACAGCCACAGCCACGTACTGACTTAGAAAACCACACATTAACTTGAGCTATTTTTCACTGTATTTTGCTATTTTAACATTTCCCAATTACATTTCAATCTGCCCTGGGCTGCCCTGAGTCTGTCACCTATGGCATAGTGGAAGGACACTATTGGGAGTTAGTTCAAATCCTGCCAGGGGCCCTTGGCAGCTAGGTGAGCTGGGGAGGAGAAACCCAAATGCCCAGAATCATCTGCTGCTGAAGAATTCTCAACACTGACCTCAAAGGGATGTGAGAGGATCAGGGAGATCAATTATGTCAAAGGCTTATGCTGGCTGCTTTTCCACTCCAGAAGAAAGCAAGTGCCCTGAGGGCAGAGCCGTGGGTCAGCCTCTTCACAATCTAGTAAACTGCCTTTTACAGGGAGGGTGCTTAAAAATATTTACCCAATTGACTTGTTCAATGATCTTTTGGAGCGGAAAAACACAGAACAAATATAGCTCAAAGGGAAATGAGAGAGAAATAGGAAGAACATTAACTAAGAGCCTAGCAAACCAGATTGAGTTTAGGTCAACATGCTCAGACGAATGATATTGTAGGGTACTGAGGCCTGGTCAGTGATCTTCCAAAGTTAACTAAGAAGAGCACAGTGTTGCTGGGGGACAAAAGAGTGTCAAATGTTGTTTGAATTTCGGAAAAGGGAAGAGAAGGTATCAGTGAACTATGGGGCAGTGAGTTTGACTTCAATTCTTGGCAGAATTCTGGCAAGCATTTGATTAAATGGAACATTTAAACAATTCTAAATGTTAGAGAACATTTAGAAAAGGGAAGGTGTAATCCTAAGGAACCAGCAAGGCTTCATGGAGAAGTCAAGAGCCAAAGAGTTACCTTATCTTGCCATTAACAAAGTACCCCCCACGAGGTTTTGTGGGATAGATGAGTGAACACTGACAACAGAACGGTTAGGTGGATCTGAAATTAGTGGAGTCTAAGGATCCAAAGAGTAACCATTAATGGTTCTGAAAGATGCTTGGCAATTCTAGGGATCCAAGCTCAAAACTGTGCTACTGGACATTTTTATCAATGACTTCAATAAAACTATGGATGGCATGCTTACCAAATTTGCAAATGACACAAAGCTGGGAAGATCAGCTACCAAACTGATGACGGTCAATTAAAAAAAAATCTCAATAGGCTAGAACCATAGGCTTAATTTAATAAAATGAAATTCAAAGAGACAAATGTCAAGGCTTCCACTCGAATCTCAAAGACCCCTTCACAAGTACAAGATGGGGGAGATATGGCAACACAAGTACAAGATGGGGGATATACAGTTAAAAGAGCATTTTATTTGAAAAAGATTTGGAGGTTTCAGTGGACTGAAAAAAATATTTGGGGGTTTCAATGGACTGCCTGCCCACTTGGCAGGAATCAAGAGTGTGACATGGCAGCCCCAAAGGATAAGGCACACTCTCTCTGAAGAGACATGAAGACAGATACAATTTCTAGAAGGGAAGCAAGAGTCACTATATGGACCTCCTCTGGTCAGGACACATTTTAGAAAGATCACTGAGAAGGTCAAGGGTATGCCTTGAGAAAGGCACCTAGAATGAGACCGCGTAACGTGACAATTATGAGAAGGAACTAGGCAAATTTAACCTGAGAAGAAAAGATAGAGGAGGGAAAAGAGGAGAATGTGATGCTGAAAGGCTGTCACTGCAGGGGAGAATGGGGGAAATCCGAGTGACCACCTCAGGCTATTAACACTCCCCCCGTCCCAGGTCTTCAGACAGAGTGAGGGGTGGGGGAATCACTTATACTGTAGAGATACTGTTCAGGCCCAAGATGGACTAAATGACCTCAGAAGCTCCATCCAACTCTAAAACTGTAATCTCATGACATCGAATTTACTATTGTCTTATTGAAGATGAAGGGATTCTTCCAACAACTATTTACTAGGCAATGCTATAACCATGCCACTGTACTGGTCCTATTTCAGAGACTACAAAGGAGCAAGCTTTTTTAGTTACAATCTTCTCTGAAATGTTCATTTACAATATCCTTCAGAAACATTGTGTGCATACCCTCCACAGAAACTATATGTTAAATGAAGCAAAGTTATTGGGAGCTGTTAGTTCTGTAGGAATGAAGCTATAAACCGAAGTAAACAGCTGTTTTGCAAATTCATGGTATGATTTGGTTATGTAAATGCAGTTGCTGTGAAACAATGCTGACTAAGATAGGATCATGTAGGTATAAAATCTCTTGGGAGATAAACAGTTTACAAACAAGGAAATAGTAGACTATAAACTTGCAAGAGGTAAAAATGTACATATTCACCAGAAACTAAAGAAATACATATTTAACAAAATCTAAGGTGGATTATGAGCGACAGTGTGGCATCTGGACAGAAACTGGCCTTGGAGATACTTAGAACTGATATCAACCCCAGTTTCTGACACCACACAAGCTGTATACAACCGTGGGCAAATCCTCTGACCTCTCTCTAAGGGTGCAACTTGACGATAAGCTACGGATTTTCATCACTGACAGGAGTTTTCCACAATGGGAGCTACCAACAGCAAGAAAATCACAGGTCCAGATGGGAAAAAAATGAAACAAACATAAAAGAGCATATAATTATGATAAAAAGATAAAAAAAGATTCATATTTTAACTATTTGAAGATTTGCAATGCTTTCCACGCCCATACCAATAACTCTGTGACATTATTCTCATTTTGGGGAAACTGAGGGTGAGCCGGTTTAAGCGATTTGTCCATGATCACATGATTAGGACATTTCAGAGTCACAGTCACAGACTTCTCAAACCTGGCAGAAGCCACTGTTGGTGGAAAGGAGCGTGAGAACACAGGAGTAATAATATTTTGTATCTTTTGATGGTTCCACTTGGGGTTAGAGGGAGCCCTCCTCCATCCACTCAATGAATCAAGTACTTAAAATATATATTTTTAAATACAAAAGAAACAATCCAAATCAACAGAAGAAATGGATAGACTCTACAGAATCCAACTGATATAAAAAAACCAAGTATATTTACACATTAACAAAGACTAAAGAGAATATGAATAATTTAATATTTACAAAGCTGCTTTAAAAAGTTCACAAGAAAAAATAGCTATTTTAGAAATCTAGAAGCAAGTTAGAAATTTAGATTAAATTACATAAGATTGAAAAATTTTACCTTTTCAAAACAACATTTAGCTATGACAGATATTAAGATGTTGGATAATCGGAAATCAATTGTACTCTATGGAATCTCATTTCTCAACTACAAGAATTCCATAATCTACCTACTACTGAGGTTACAAAATTGAAGCAATGTTTTACACCTAACACATGAAATCTCTCATACATAATAATAAAAACTCAAACTCTAAGGAGTCTAATAAAGGAATAGCTAACTAAATGAACGTGAGCAGTTAACTGCACGTCCTGCAGAATTGGTGCGGTGAAAATGCAGCAAGTCTGGTAAATCTGAAAGAACCAGAGAATTTTCAAGCTAGAAAGCTACAAAGGACCTTAGGGTTTGCATTCTATCTGTACCTCCACTTCCTCATCTGCAAAATGGAGACAATAAGCGAACCTCATATGAGGACCCAAAATGCCCAATATCAGCTGTCAGGACCCAGCCCCACCCTCAGAGAAGTCACAGAGGCTTAGAACATCTATTTTATAGAACACCTATATTACTTTGCCAGTATATGACACCATTATGAAAGCACTGACTACTTCAATAGCACAGTCACAACTGGCAGATTCCAGGCAAGATGGTAAACCTACGAGAAAGACTAGCTGGGTCCTGCCAGGGGCTACAAAAGTTTACCTAGAATAAACACTATCCTCTCACAGGGAACAATTGTTTTATGGCCAGTGACTTAATCTGATTAAGATGTGAACAAGGACAAAGTCTGGCCAACCTGCTAAGGCTGGCTTCAAGACATCCAGCCGGAAAGAAAATCAGGCAGTACCAGAGCTGCCTCCTTTACAGATGGTAAGAAAAACAACAGGTTAAAGACGGTCTGTTAATACTGTGAACTTCCTTAAGTGGCTGAACGTTCTGATCTGTGTGCTGACCCTTTTCACATGAAACTTGTCAATTGACCAAATATCTAAGTCGCAAAATAGATTTCTGTGGGGAATGCTACAGGAGACAGGGAGAGGGAAGGTGAACCCTGCAGGAGAGGCAGGAGACAAAGACAGCTGTGTCCTGGCAAACACACCCACAGACTCACCGGGCTTCTGGGGACTCCCCCAAAGTGTGCCAATTAAGGTTGCTAGTATTCTTCATACAGACAGAGACAGGCATCTCTGCTAGAGGAGCATCAAGAATTACATAAAGATCTTGAGAGGAAAACATGACCAGGTAGCAAAAGAATACTAAAAACCCAACATCACCCCATGCTCACAGCTTCAAAATATTCTCTTATCAGTTAATTCCTGCAACATTCAATGCTTCTAAATAGCTAATAAACCTCTAATAACTTGGATTTTTATTTCTATAAAGAAAACTTTGCGGGAAAAAAACCTAATTATTAGTTTTCGTTGAAATGAAGAATCCATTTGGAATCTAAATCACAAAATAAAAATGCATTTGCACTGAAATTTAAATTTCAAGGAAGAAAAAGAAATGGTTAAAAAACTTGTTTCACCCCTTTCTTGAATGCTATAGGCAAAGCTGAAAAACAGTGGCTACTTTTCTACTTCATTGAATAATTCAGTTACATTTCATAAGTCAAAAACAATTAATTTAGGAGATTGCCCTATTCCCATCTGATTTCACATATACCAGAAAATAGTTTAAATCTTTTCAAAAGTAACTCTATCCACACAACTTACTTATTCACGCTATGACTCACCTTTTTCATTCTCCTTGTATTTGCAAATGCCAACTGGAATTTCAGCTTGAAATACGGAACCCACCATAATTTCCTATTTTAAAAAAGAACAAAGTCTTAGTCTCACTCAAGTCCAGCAGCTCAGTCGTCACACACATTCTCTGTCCTAACCAGCTTGTTGGGGAACTGATCTGGTTTCTGCTTCTGATGCTATAAAATGTGGATAAAACTACTATTTAACACACACATACACACACACACACACACACACACACACACGCACTCCTCAGAGGAGTATTGTGAGAATTAATGAGTTAATAATAGTTAAGTGCTTACAGATGATTGGATGGAAACATTAGGAATAATGAGGTGAGAGTAAGTCAAGGGATTATTTACAAATAATATGCAATTTTCAATGGGCAATTAAAATCAGTATAAATGTAATGCCAATAAAAATTGGTAATTTTTTATTGTTGACAAATTCCTGTAAAACAATGAAAATCCAGTATCAAAAAAATTTAACTCAACTAATACTGTACTGAGGGTTGGGGGAGATAAGAAAAACAGATGTAAAATACATAAACATATGCATAAGCATAGCTGAACAAAGGGGAACTTGGAAATTCATATGCAGCCATGCTTTCTACAGCACTCTAATACATCTACTGGCAGACTTGATTTAAAAAATGCTAAGAACCTTGTGCTATGATTGGTTTATGAAGAACAGACATTAAGAGTGCATTTAATTCTATCCTTTGCAGGCTTTAAAACCGTAGAACAACTTTAGTCGTATCTGAGACATCCTGGACAGCTGATACAATGAGTTGGGGCTAGAATTTTACTGAAGGAAGACAGTAGGCTGGGTTGCTTTTTGGAAATTGCAAAGTTCTTTTAATGACCCCAATCTTTTCACTGAGACAAAGACCCAGTATTTGCGTATATGCTGTGGGGCACAGAACACTGCAGGCTCCAAAGAAATAAAATGAGTATCCCCCAGAGGGCAACAGAAAGGTGCAAAGTGGGTATGAATAAATTGCAACACATTATAAACAAGGAATTATAAAGGGGAAGTGGTAGAAAGGCTGATGGCCTGGTCACATAGTGAGACCCAGGGCTAAGCGGTGGCCAGCTTTCAGGCTCAGTTGGTATTTTTGGGAAAGCTCCCAGGGCATTGGGTAGAGCCCCTGTGGCGAATGCCTAGGGAGCCTCACTGCATGGTCAGCTCTGGCGTAGATGAGCAATAAGAAGTGTTGGAGAGACTGTCTACTTTCATGGGATCACAGGCTAAGTGAATATCGGAACACACACAATCCTACCTACTAGGCAGGGTGTTTGTCCTATTAAAGCTTAGAATGCACTAAGACGTAATTATGTCTTCAAACAAGAGTTCAAGTACAAGGAATCAGAAGTGGATAAGCATTCTAAGGCTGTGGACAAGGATGGAAACACCTTCATTTCTGCCTTTCTCTTTTAATTAAAGTGGACAAGGGGACACAGGCTCAGGTCTGAAAGTGTGCCTGCTGACCACAGGGCCGTGGGCACGACCGTACGTCCATACGGCCTCTCATTCTTGACTTTACTCAAGCTGGTAACTTGCTTTGCTGTTCCAGAGCCCCTCATGTCAAGGTCTTATCTCTGCCAACAAAACACGGACCTGTGTACCCTGCAAAGTACCACTAACTGAGGAAGGCCACAGCAAGTGTTTAATAATTCCTTAACAGAAAAATGGGCCACATACTCCCGGCAGCTCTAAACTGTACCAAACCTGAATGAAGCCTATAATGTGCTCAGACTGGCTTTTGTCCAATTCACCTGTAGTTTCCAACAGGTGGAGGCTGAGTGTGGGATTTTTAAAGACTTTTTTCTTTCTACCCAAACCTACCAGTCACAAGCATCACCATAAATTCCAGGGTCTTTCCATCCCACTCACCAGTCTGCCAGTGAAAATGATTTTTTTAACCTAGCAATTTACTGTAATTTTAGAAGGGAGTGTGTCTGTCTACCTACACACACACACACATTTCCATACAAAAAGTTCTCACTGGATACCTATGTTTGAGAAATTTTCTAGAAATATACCTCTAGAATGCACTTAGAGAGATGATTACCAAAAAGGAAGTCACAAAGAGTCAGAAGAGCTTCATCAAGTCTGACTGAGGTCAGACTAAAGATATTCCCTTTATTGGTAGGCTTACTAAACTGGTAGAGAGGGGGACAAAGAAGGGGTATTTTACCTGGATTTCAGCAAAGTATTGAGTAAGGTGGTCCATGCTATATTCTTCGGAAAAGACAGAAAGCCAGTGGCTAAAGGCGAGTGCGGCCAGAAGGCTCTGGCCTTGCTTGAAGGACATCACTAAAAGTTCAGTGTCACCTTGGCAGGTTTCCAGGGGTTTGGCGGTTGGCTCTGTGCTAGTTCACATTTGAACCCATGACTTGGATAAAGGAACAGACTGTACACTTATCAAATCTGCAAGCCAACCCAAAGCTGGGGAGGGGAATTATCCCTCTGGCTGAGAAGTCAGGATCCAAAATGATCCTGACAGACTAGAGTAGGGGTTATTAACCTCAAGTCCATAAACTTCCTTTATGACAACATTTTGAGGACTCCATTTTACACCAATGGGCCTCCTGTGCAATCCTATGTATTTTAGAACATGATTCTGAGAAGGGGTCCAAAGGCTTCTTCACTGATCTTCCAAAGGGGACTGCAACACAAAAGGTATCCCAGGCTAGAGCACTGGGATGAATCTACTAATTTAAGAGAGAGATAAGTGTAAAACCTCACACTGCAGTTAAAAAAAATTGACGTCCTAAGGACAAAATGGACAAGGTTTCATTAGACATAAATTCCTCTGAAAAAGATTTGGCAGGGTGGGGGGGTGTGTGTGTGAGGGTGTGGCGCTTGTGGAGTAAAATCTCAAGATGATCCAAAGGTATAGTCAGGCAAGAAAGCTAACTCAATCTGTGGCTGCACGAAGAGACAACTTGCTTAAAACCAAACGAGATCCGTATAAATCTGTTTTATCTTAACGGAGAAGCTTAAGTGAAAATTCTGCTCTCACTTAAGTGTTTGATCAGGGTGGCTGGCACGTCTCATCTAGGCAGGGGCACAGCAGGTGATGAACAGCTACGCGTAGACGCTTACTGGCCGAGTGCAGAGCACAAGATGGCTGTCTTCAACTGTAGGAAAGAATATTACGGGGAAGAAGGATACTTGGGCTGTTCAACCCCAGGGGCTAGAACTAGGAACAGGCATGGTCATTGTACAGACAGAGATTTAGGCTTGATGTAGGGAAAAACCATGCTACCCAGGGAACAGGCTCATGCCTTCATCGGTCAGGTGTGTCTGCCTTTTTGGGTAGGGGTCAGAGCAGGTGGTCACTAGGATGACTCTGAATTCTACTATATGAGGATTTTGTACAAAGGCACAAGACACCTCTGCCTCTTTATAGAATCCAGTACCTAACTCCAACATATATCTGCCTTTAGTCTGGAATCCCTAGCTTCACTGGGCACACAACTGCACCTTCTCTTCCAAATTCCCAAGGCAGGGTCACTTGTGGCGGAGGAAGCCCAGGAGTATCTGTCCAGGCTGGTGATCCTCTGGGCAGTCTGAAGTTGTCTCAGGTGAGCCCCAATTTTCAGCAACAAGGGATGACCTGGCTGGTTCTGGGACTCTTATAAGAGTCCCAGGGGCTCCTGGACCAAACTACACTGAACACCCAACTGGAAACATGAAGGAAGATCAGTATTTCCTGGGGCTGAACTAAGTCCTTAGGTCTCCTAGAAAGATGAGGACTGTTTGACTGACTTGATCAAATCCAAGTGACTGGAGAGTACTATGGCTTAAGAGCCATTTAATCCGCTGCACTTAGCTATCTAGTAATTTAAAAGCAATGAAAACTTGTGCAATAAAAGTGAACAAATACCATTTTTTCAAACTACCTTTAACACAAAAACCATTTATTTATTTTGCTATCTTCTGATTTATGGGTTCAGTCCTAAGCCTTGTTCTTCCTACAGCCAACTTATGTTATAAAACACCATTCAAATAAAAAAGATTAAAATATTTGTAAAACAGGGAAGAGAGAAGAAAGGTATGCATCTGTTTAAGTGAAATTGTTAAAGGCTCTTCTTTATTAATTAATATCATGTAAATGTGCTACAAAATGTTCCCGTTTAAAGTTTCTTATATTTGGCCTGGTCCTTCAACCTAAGATGAAATTTCATAGGGATAAAAGTCAAATCTTATATTTGGGCTTGAGAAAACAACTCCTGAAGTACAGTAACTTGGTGAATACAGGTGGCCTCGAAGTGACGCTGCGGATAAAGTGCCGAGTCTGGAATCAGGAAGACCCAAGTTCAAATCCCCAGCCTCAGACACTTCCAAGCCACCTGACTCTGGGCAAGTCATTTCACTTGTTTGCCTCGAGATCCTCAACTGTAAAATGGGGATAATAACAGCACCTACCTCACAGGATTGTTGTGAAAATCAAGTAGATAATATTTGTTAAAAAAAAAAAAATAGCGCTTAGCACAATGCCCGGCACACGGCAGATGTTCTATGTTTATTCCCTTCCTGTCTGACCCTGGGCAAATCACATTGCCTCTTCATGCCTCAGTTTCCTCATCTGTAAAATGGGGATAACAATTGCATTTACATCCCAGGGCTGCTGTGAGGATCAAATGGAACAATATCTGTAAAGCACTTAGGACGGTGCCCGGTGCAGAAGAGACGTCACATAAATGGAGGCTCTTCTCATTACTTTTTGGTCAGACAGCACCTTGGCTAAAAATGCTCGGAGGTGTTAGCGGATTCAATGGTAGGATCTAGCAGATAAAAAGGGGAACGTGATCCGAGGCTGCACTAAGAGGTGGAGCTTTCAGGGGTCATCTCTGTGCTGGTCAAACCAAATCTGGAGTAGAAAGATGTCGATAAACTAGAGTGCCCAAAGGAAGGCAATGCGGATGGTGAAGGGCCTTGAATGCACGACACATGAGGACAGGATGAAGGAATCAGGGATGTTCAGTCCAGAGAAAAGAAGGGGAACAAGGCGACAGAGGCAGCCACCCGTGGCCTGGGGTGGGAGCTGCCGAGAGGCAGACTTAAGTTTCAGGTGAAGAAAAATGTGTGGACAGCGAGAGCTCGCCAGAGCAGAAGGGGCTTCCTTGGCTGGTGGTGAGCCAGCCCTCAGGGGAAGTCTGGTTGTAGTGGGCATTCTTTTCTGAGGATGGCTTAGATGAGATGACCCCAGGGACACCCTTCCTTTCTGACATGCTTTACCTCTTGGAGAGAGCCCCTAACCACAATGGTCATATTCTCTGAATTAAAAATAGGGAACATGCTTTGTGGGAAAGTTTCATTAAACACCGTTTTGGGTTTTTTCCCCATCAAATTGGGCGTATACCAGAAAATCTGTGATGTTTCATCATCCTACTCATGCACACTATGTTATAAAAAGTTCCTACATTCCGTAACCGTTCATTTCTTTTAAAATTTGTTATCTGAAATCCCCGCGCTACTTTGGCACGCATTTGGCACAGGCTCACTTCTACACCAGAAATAACACCACAGAGGACGGCCCTCACATGGAAAGAGCGATGAAGTCGCTCAAAATTAAAGACAGTCTAAAACCAAGCTTTATTAATGCACGCATTTTGAAAGAATCCCAATCCCAATCTAGTGCTGACTTGACGTATCTGCTTTTAGAGCAGGGGCCCCAACTACCTTTTTCCAGTCTTCGGACGGAACGTAGTCCTCGTCTTCCTCAGACTCTTCTTCTATTTCACTGTCTAGAACGTAGAACAAAACACCAACATTGTTCAAAAAGACTGAGTGGCTTCCTCCAGCCAATGCTGCATCGCAGACAGGTTTTTCTTCAGTAATTTGTACCTCTCTTTTTGGCAAGATCAATTTAACATACTTCTAAGGATTTGGACATCTACTATCAACTATGGAGATGTACCCAAAATTGCATTTTGTGAAAACATACAGAGTGTTCTATGGCCAAAGAATCAGAATGGCCTCTGCCTCAATGAGGAGGGGACACCCTACATGGCCACCAACAAAAACATGCACAATGATTTCAAGAGGAAGGAGAGGAGGCAGCCTCGAAGACCAAGGTTCTGGGAGTCCAAGTGCCATGAGGGAGGCAGTACTGCAGACACGCCAAGTGGGGCAGCGGGTCCCGAGAGCAGAAACAGACAATGAGGGAGGGCCAGGGGGAGAACGAAGGGGCCCGGCCTGGTCGCAAAGGACCAAAACAGGGCTGGAAGAGTCAGTCAGAGCCAAACCTTTAGGCTGAAATTCTAGTCTTAGAGGTCTATATTCAGGGGGCACTTAGCTAACGGTCCTTGGAGTGACAGCTCCAGGTAATCCATCGCAAGAATAATAAGCCAGAAACAGTTTTGTTTTTCAAACACAACAGTCCTGATGGACACATCTTGGAACTGACTAGAAACAAAGAACTGCTAACTGGCCTGGATTATCACTTCACACTCTGTCTATGGCCATGCCTCAGTATTCTCATCTGTAAAGAGAGGTCAGATCAGGTGATGGGCACTTCTGGCTCAAAACCAGCTGATCCTCTACCCTGAATTCCATCAATCCTCTTTCCCTCCTTGATACCTCATGGGTCCTCTCTTCCAGGACCCAGAATGTTGCTGCACCCACCAGAGGAGTTTCATATAAACTCATTTCATTTCAACAAATGCACGCCACAGGCTAGAAGAGGCAGCTTCAGACCATGTCCTGGGGGGGGGGGGGGGGGTCCTGCTTTCAGGAGGAAACAGTTCCACCCTGTCCCCGCCCTGTCGTTTGTAAGTAAAAGGTAAAGACAAACTCCTGTGGTGGGCACCCAACGCCCTCCACAACTGCATTTCATTGTCCCTCTCTAGTCTGATTTCCCCTCATCACTGCCTAAGTGCCCCTTCCCACACAGCCCCTGTGCTTGGACTGCTGTAGGCAGGAGGCCCCTCCTCGTCCCCAAACGGCTCATGTTCTCGTAGCAGCTGCTGCTCTGGCCCAGGCCGGACACCTTTACAGCTGCCTGGAAATGGGCAGGACTGTCGCTCTCCGCTCAGTTAATCACCTGGAACAGGACTGGAAACCCCCAAAATGATGAAATGTCAACTGAACACAACAGTCAGAATATTTTAGGCGTTTACCTTGTTAAAACACGAAGTTTTCAATTACACTCAAGCCAAAGAGATTAGCACGAAACATCACCTACTTGTATCAAAATATTTACATCGACGTGGGCGGATTATTTCCTGGGCATCCTGAGAAGCCGCAGACTGTGCTGGGTCATCATTGGACGACTGAGTCTCATCTTCCTGGCCTGATGAATCCTTTATGTTATCCTGTGGCACAGTAAAATCAGAGCGTTATTGAAAATATCATGGGAACTCACTGTAGGAGACAGGGTTGGAATTTTAAAGAAAAAATGAACCCATTTCATTTATTATACATTCTACCATACAGAGCCTATTGGCTTGCCTTCATTAACTGTAAAGACATACTGACACCATACAAAAAGTCAGCACGATAGACATACAAATAAAATCAAGTTTGTATAAGAAATGGCAGTAAACCCAAGAAAAGGCAAAACAACAGAAAAGTGTTTTAAAAGACAACTCTTAGGTGTCCTAGCTGTAGTCAGCGATACCCAGGACAGAAAGCGTTCCTTAATAAACAGACAAAACACTGCTCTGAGGAAAAAGTGCCCCCACCACATGTTGGGTCAATTTCAGCGCACCTCATCTCCTTATCAGAACAAGGATCTGATTTTCAGAAATGCATCCTAAAAAACCTTGGGGAGGAATACCCAGATGCCGTGGCTGCCCCCTCATAACCCTCTCTGGGTCTGTCCTCAGGACTTTACAGACAGTAGGATGGAAGCCCACCTTTTTTTATCGTCCCTAACAAACAGGCCTCCAGAGGTGATAAATGTGTACGTAAAACAGTTAGCCTTTCTGTACTGGTTGGCCCAAGACACCAGACCATGTTTTACTCTTTGTCTCCATCCCACGTAGCCATCATTCCAAGCCACCTCACTGTCTGCCAGACTTAATAACCTGTCTCCTCCACCTCTTTCTCTGGGTGAACAATCCCATCAATGGACCACGACTTCAAGAAAGGGCCCGCCACATTCTCCAGCTCATCACCTCAGTGACTCTCCCCTCACCACGACCTCCTAGAGGCCTGGCCTTTCCCTAACAGAAGCTCCTTGAGAGCAGGCCTATCCTTTTCACTTGTATCCACAGTGCATAGGACAGTGTCTGGCACAGAGTAAATGCTTAATATGTCTTTTCATTCATAGCAAATGATTTGAAAAATAAGACATTTGTGAAAATATAAAAACAAACCAGAAAGCTTTACTAAATGTGACACATACTTTACATTCTAATTCTTTGCAATGCTAAGTGATGATACTTAGACTGAAGACCAAGAGAACAAGATAAACTTTAAGTTATTTTGTGTATTCAAAAAGTGATGTTATCACAAAAGCAAGAACAGCATACAGTAAAAGAACAATTTGAACGATATTTAACTAGCGTCAACAACCAACATACTAGAGAGGCCAGAATATGAGTTTGGGAGTTTGGTACCATTAAGGATTCTGGTCCAAATCTGTGTTGTTTTTCAAGCTTGGCCATGGTGGCATATGGCCCTTCTGTTCTTTTCCTGCCAACTGGCGATACTACCAATAAACTACTTCATGTAACTGTGGGGGAAAAAAATTAAAAGCATAAAAGCCTAATGCAAATTGTGTGGTACTAATGCTGACAACTCATTTGGAAAATGACTAGCCAAATAATTACAAGTAAAATAGCTTCAACCTTATTGAACAGATGCTGTATAAGTGCTAAACTGAAAGGGCTTTTAGATTTTAAAAATAATTTAAATAATATCAATAGGTTTTAGATGGTATCTATATGCTCTTGGAGGAAAGTTTCTCCAATATTTTCTTACTAATTCTCACCAATCTTTGGAAGAGATGCTCCATTGTCCAATTAATTTAAAAGAGGAAGAAAATGCAAAGCAGGAGGCCAGGCCAAAACGTTACATTTTCTGACTCTTAAAGATGTACTCTTGCCACTAAGTTTTCCCAGGACCCTTTCTGTTAGAACAAGATGACTTGGGAAGCCTATTTTTTTCAATTTAGCTCACAAGAGCCCACCATTTTAAACCTAATAAGAGAAATGTTATATTTGAAGAACTAGTACAAGGTCCTCTCTTTGGGAAATTTTAGGTAATTAAGTCTAATGAGTCCCATGATCAAGAAACATTTATTAAGTACCTACCATGTGCCAAGCACTGGGGTTACAACGAAAGGCAGAACACAAGACGCAGACAGGATAAACTGGGTTAACCCCAGAAGGAAGGCCCTAGCATTAAGGCTGATCGTTTGGGAAAGGCTTCCTACAGAAGGTGAGATTGTAGCTGGGACCTCAAGGAGCCAGGGAAATCAGTAGATGGAGATGAGGAAAGAGAATCCCAAGCAAAGGAAACAGCCAGGGAAAACACCCAGAGTTGGGAGACTGAGTCATGCTTGCAAGGGTGGTGTAAGAAGACTGGAGAGGAAAGAAAGAGCCAGGTCACGGAGGGCTTTAAAATCAAACGGAAGAGTTTGTTTTTGATCCTGGAGGCAATGGGGAGGCACTGTAGCTTACTGATGATCTTCCCTATTCTTTGGGAAGATCAATGTGACAGCTGAGTGGAAGATGGGCTGTAGTGAGGAGACTTAAGGCAAGGACGCCAACCAGCAGCCACTGCATAGTGCAGGGGCACAGATGCCAGGGTAGCAGCAGTGTCACAGAAGAGAAGGGGGTGCATACAAGAGATGGCGCAAAGGCAGACTCGACAGGCCTCAGCAGCAGAGGGAGCAAGGGTCAGTGGAACATCAACTCGTGTGTCTCCACAACAAGTACAAACAGGTACTATCATCACAGTTCCACCCCCCCTTCTAAAAATGAAGATGAGGAAACTGAGGCGCAGACAGATCCAAACTCGTATTTCACTCAGGCTCTCAATCGGGCACTGCCCACGCCAGTATTAGGCAGTAAGCTCCTCAGAAGCAGGAACCACATATCCTAGTCAACAATTCAGCAGACATTACTGAGCGCCTGTACTTTTCAAGACACCCTCCAGTTTCTTCGTCTAGCAGAGTTTACATGGAAAACATAAACACAAAGTCCTTCTGAAGCCCTCACAGAGCGTAGCACAGCACCAGTCACAGAACAGAGAACAGGCCCTCCAAATGTGCTGTTTAATGTGGAGGCCAAACAGGAAAAGGTCGAGAGGCGTCAGAAGACCCAGGTTCAAGTCCTTGTGGCTGCATCAATTCCTTCCTTCACGTGTGACCTAGGCAAGTGAAACCTGCTCGCTTGCTCATCTGAAAAAACAAACAAACAAAAACAAAAACAAAAAAAAAAAAACAGGGAGGGGGCACCAAGGGAGAGGGTCAAGATCTGTACTGTCATGATCAGCACAGGAAATTCCCAGTGAAGAAACAAACACTATCAGTGAGGAAGACAGAACTTGTAGTCTTCCTGAATGGCAAAGGGGGAAAGGAAAGGAGGCGTGGCCTACAGTGCCCGTAGGGCGTGGGCAGGTAGCCCTGCATGGTCTCCATTACTGCTCCCCAGCACCTGAACACGCACCAACACACGTGACACACTGCGCTGACACGCCACATATGGTGAGGGCCATCTCTTCAGTTATCAATCAAGTTAAGTAACATCCTCTCTAAATACTTAATAGTTCATGCTGACGCTTGTCACGGAATCGATTCTTAATTTAAAGCTCAGCACCTGGCACGGCCTGCCGTCAAACGCTGCCGTCGCTTCACACCCATTTACTCACTTTGTTTTCTCCACTGCACCCACTGTTGTCATCGTTGTCGACATCTTCATCATCGTCCCCCTCCTCTTCCTCCTCCTCCTCCTCTTCCTCAGGCAGCTGAACAGCGCTATCGTAGCCGTAAAGGCTGAGGAGCTCGTGAATCGGCATATCGCCTTCCTGTGGAACATTCCCCAAAGTTAATGCCTGAACCCACATTTCACACAGCCACAAGATAAAACACTTTAGCTGAAAATCAGAGGGGCTGCCTTAATGTTCAAATCATCAAACTCCAAACATTTTTGCAAGCTTTGGGAAATACATTTAAATATAGTTAGAATAATTCTAGAAAATTAACTAACAATTCTTACTACTTAGAACAAGATGTTAAATATAATTATCTCACTGTAGGACTACTGGGTTTTTATTGTTTTTTTAATGCAGAGAAGTATGTGCCAGATAGTTAATTGTCAAGATTTCTGGATGAAGAACTCTGTAGTTGGTCCTGTGCTGGGTAGGGGCAGAAGAATTAGAAGGCATAAGCCCCTCCCTATGTACAGTATAATCTACTCAGGAAGAAAGAATCCACTTATAAAACTTAAGGACACATTTGCAAGGAAAGAAAATGAATGAATCTAGGCACAAGTTAACTTGGGAGCAGACCGAATTAGGCTTTGGTGAATACGTAGGTAAAAAGTGTCTGCTACAGTGTTATTTCCATTGGTAAAAATGCCATCGATTGCTGATGTGACCCTCTTTGGGGTCTTCAGGAGCTGACGCTGTGGTGGTAGTGCAACAACAGAGGCTCCTACAGAGCTACCAGCCAGGTCAGCTCTCTACAGGAGCTGCTGTGCAGGGATGGAAGACCCTGCCATTCCGAGGGATCCGGGCTGAGGGGAGAGGATGATGGTGGGATGATCCAGTTGGCACATTCAGATTCCCGTCTGTCCCTTAGGTTTGCTTTCTTGCTCACTGGTGGCAGCTAGTTAGCCGGTAGTGGGGAGGCTACTGGGCTTTTGCAGCCACATAGGCTGGTTCCATGGGGCCTCGGGTCCTAGGCGGCCTCTATCAGAATCTGCAGGGAGAGAACTGTGCTCATTTACACTCAAGAATTGGAAGCCAGGAGGCTCCTGGAGATCACCTGGTCAAACCAAGCTGGCATTTGACTCAGGTCAGATATGGAAGTGGCAGAACCAGGACCACGACCCAGGGTTCCTGACTTCTAGCCTAGTGTACTCTGATTGCCCAGACTCCACAGCACCATGCTGCAGAGAAAGATCTGCAGGACTCTGATGACAGATCAGATGTGGAGGGACAAAGGCAAGAAGACTGACTGTGAAAAACCCAAACTCTGCAGGCCTGGCATCCAGTAAATGGAGATGAGAAGCGGGGGAGAGGATGACTTCAGGTCTTGACAGGCTCATTTTTAAGTCAGTGAGACGACCAAGTAGAGGTTCTAAAGTCAGGGCAGGAGATGTCAACAGAGTCAAAGGGCATTTAGTTCAGAATCAAATAGGAAAGGAATAAAAAGTAAAAGCATTAAGGGGAGGGTCAAACCACGGGACAGAGAAGGGAATGGGAAAAAATGGGGGCAAGGTACAGAAAGATACAAAGGACAGAAAAATCAGGGTCAGAAAATAAATGGAAAAGAAAGTTTTTAAGGAGAGGAAATAGTGATCACTGTATATTGGAGTATGGAAATGAGAAAGTGAGGACCAAAGAACAGCCAAGTGGATTTACTTAGGAAGTTACTGGTGACTCTAAGCCTGACTGAGATGCTAAGACGGTGAAGCCCTAAAGCACAACTTCTTCCAAGGCCTCCCCAGCTCTTAAATATGGCACAGTGGTAGGCTGGATATGCCAGCCGAGGTCCAGGGTGGGCAGAATTCTTGGGGAAGGCTCTTCCCGTAGGAAGGACACCTGAAGACACTACAAAGGAGGGAGCCCTAATAAAAGGAGAAGTAAATGAAGACCTCATCTTTGTACACAGTTGATGTTTCAGGAAGGGTAAACAGAGAAGAAATGCTTGAGGGGAAGGACAAGTAAGCTTTTCACTGTTACATTCTATCCCTGGCAGTCTGTGTCATCACTTGTCACTGTGGGAAAAGACAACAACTATGAGTCTCTAGGCCTGGGGGCCTTTTCTAGGTCCCTGTGTCCTCCCACTTTTCCCAGATCCAACTATTAGAAGGAAAATAAAAGTGCAAGTTAGGAGAGGTCTTTCATAAGACTGTTCACTTATTAGGGAACTATCATAATAGCTATGTCAACAGGACTTTCAAGTTTGAAACGTGCTGCATGGACATTACTTCTCTGGTCCTCACAACAAAGCCTGGGGAAATGGAATGCCCATTTGACTGACGAAGAAACTGAGGCCCAGAGAGATTGGTCAGCTTGCTAACCAATGTCCAGGGCAGTACTCTACGCTCAGCCTAGCTGCATCCAAGTTCAGGGCCTCTCCCACTCTGCCAAGGCAAGTTTGTGCTGGGGGGTAGGGGTGGGTGGCTTCCACATCTTAAACTGTTATCATCTAGAGTTCAGCTCACCCTAGGCTGCCGAGCAAATGGCAACGAGGCTCAGCATCGCAGCTGACAGGATGGGCCACTTCCCCTAAGTCTAAATTTCAAGTCCTTAGGACAAGCCCTGGGTGATGAAACAGCTATGGCCTCTGCTAAGGGATGCTCCCAGTTAACACCGGGGCAAGAGGCAGGCAAACGCTCTGAGCCAGAAACATTAAGTACACACATATTTCTATACCTTTGACTATGAGGCAAATGGCCATTTGAAAGACAAAGAGCCAAGTAACTCCCTGACTGTCCTAGTTGCATTAATGCTTATCCCAGGGCCCTATCTCCCATTCTGAGCACGGACAAGTGACCAGCAGCCTCCACCGGTTTAAGTGAGAAATGCCACTGTGAGAAGGCAGAGCCTTGTGCTACTGTCCACCCAAGTACGCTGACCATTTCAAGGATATATATATAGGGCTGGTACTCTATCCACTGCGCCACCTAGCTGCCCCTCAAGAATATGCTGAATGAGATTTTTAGCTGTTCCCCATGGGAAAAAAAACCATCCTTGTATCACTGCAATCTTCCCTCAAGAGATGGATGTTGAGGGCTCTTCCCATAACCCAGAGTTTGGACACTTTACATCCTACTCAGAGTAGAAATCAAAATCAGATGCATCAAGAGAATGTATCAAAAGAGCTCTGCCAAACGCCAAGGGTGCCAGAGAAATGCATGCTGGCCTAGGTTCCTCCTGGGGGGGGAATGGAACTTGCTAAATTTCAGAAGAAGAAATAAATGCTGGTTTTTACTTATTTTGTCTCAGGTAATGAAAGTAAGAGTCAGTGGTAATTAACAGTTTCAGAACTTTTACATTTTGGAAACAATGAATTCAACTAAGACAGCCATGGAAACCAGAAAGATTTCAACTGAATTAGTAAATTATGCTTTCAAAAAGCTCAACATGTGCATCAGTTTCATTATGAATCTGATTTTCAAAATCACAAAAGAGTAAATAAAAATCAATTGGCAAAGGGAGCTGTATCTATTTTCAACAACAAAAAACCCACCACAATTTTACCATTGTTACACCATTTGTTATGAACTTATCCCTACAGAGCTTGGGTAAAACTGGTTCACAAACACAGGTCAAATACTGTTACAATGAACAGCAGGAACATGCGCTCTCTTAGGCCCCTGCTGCGATCGTGCTTGCTAATTCACACAACAGAATGGTTCCAGGCCAGAGAGTGATATAAGGAGGTTCCGTGTACACGGGATTCGTACTATCAAATCGGTTCAGGTTAAAAAGACAGTCCATACCATAATGTGAGAAAGATACTGTTCTGGCCACAGGAATACTTATCACCCAATCCACCTCTCCCTTCTTCATTTCTACAAATGGGTTGGTATGGTGATATGCAAAAATGTAAATACGAAGTAGATCTTATCACTCCTGCCTTTTTTCTTTTTTTTCTCCTTCATTATAACTTATTTCTAGTAATGATCACTACAAAGAAAAACCCAGGAGTAAGAAAATCGACCTTCTCAACACAATGGTGCAACGGACACTGAGGCTGGCAACAAGTCTGCTCTGTGACCCTGTGTGTCACTGAACTCTCTGAGTTGGTTCCTTTTTCAAAGAAGACAATACTTGTGCTCTGTGTTGTGAGGATCAGATCATGGATGTAAAACGACGAGCTGTTAGATTGTAATGTTAGGTGACATCGACAAGATCTACTTTACATAAAAACCATTCTTTAAAAACATTAAATATGTCAATTTTATTCTTTAAAATTAAGTTTGCTGCAGGTAAAATTTGTGATTCACAGTCAAACACACTTATCTACACTGAGCTTCTTCTGTCAAAAATCATACCTTTCACCTAAACCATTTCAAACTCCACAATGAATATACTTAAAACCACAGAATATACTTGGACTGCTTGAACAGCTACTTGTATTTTGGCACCAGACTTCTACCAGGATCACTGAGAATCCATTTTGAAGGTGTAAAGAAATAAAAGAAAAAACTTTTCTAAGACTTCTTCTCACTATAAAGCACTTTTACTTTTCTTCTAAGTTATATGTCAGAACTTATAATTACGAATTGAAAATTTAATCATTCATATCCTTTTCTAAAGGAAAAAATGCAGCTCTCAATATTATTTTTATTGTTGCTATTCAGTTGATTTCACTCCTGTCCAACTCTCTACGATCCCAATTTGGGTTTGGTTTTTTTTTTTACACCAGAGATACTGGAATCGTTTGCCATTTTCTTCTCCAGCTCATTTTACAGATGAGGAAACCGAGGCAAAGAGATAAGTGACTTGCCCAGGGTCACACAACCACTAAATGTCTGAGGCTGGATCTGAACTCAGGAAGATCAGTCTTCCTGACTTCAGGTTCAACACTAAACCACTGCGTCACCGAACTGCCTTCCCAATATTATAAAAGGCACTTCAATTTATAAACAAAATTAAATTAGTTATCTGGAGCTATAAGACCTGGGTCTGAAATCCTAACTTTGCCACCATCTCACACTGGGCAGAAAGTCACCCTCTGGCCTTTACTTTTAACCTCCAGAAAATGAGAAGGTTGGACCAGATGACCTGGAAGGGCCTTCCAAATCCACACCCTATCAGAAGCACTGGGTTATAAAGCTGTTCCTTGTATGTGAAAAAGGAGAACCTACAAGTTTAGCTATTGCTCAATCCAGAACACCAGTGTTCTCCTTCTGCTGAAGGCTTTAGTGTGGTGGAGCTTTGGGACAATTTCACAGAACCATGTTCTTAAGGCTTTTAAGCAAAGCGTGTATGCAGGAAGCCTATTATACTGAAATAATTACCAAAATTAAAAAAGAAAGAAAAAAAAAGCTTCTGGATTCCAGGTGAAGACCTGCTGCTTTAGAGGTCAGGTGACCCAGACAGGAGAGGCAGGAAAGCGGCAAGACACCCATGTTTTGGTGAAGAGGAAGTGGGTGTCGAGGTCAGACCCACCCCCTCATCTCTTCCTCTCTGCAGGACTCTGCCATCCTCCTCTCCAGAATCATTCTCTCCCAGGAAGGGCTGGTGAGATGGGTCATTTGGAAGTAATTAATGGAAATTAAAAAAAAAAAAAAAAAAGATGAGAGAAAAGGAATAAGTGAATGCATAAAATCGACTGTCTGTACATGTAGCTACATATACATTATTAAATGAAGTAAATTATATTTTTAAATAATGTGAAATGTGGGATTACTATTATCACTTACCATATTTACATGCCTCTGTCTTTCACATTTTCCTTCCTCCCCCCTCCATTTTAAAGTGAGATTTATCCCCTAAAATGATTGCCACCTTCTGCCATCATACTGGGGGAAGCTCTGTAAGGCTATGTAACAGGACACACAAAACTGATTGAAACTCTCCAGTTTCTGCAGCCCCTTTCAGAAGTCTCTGAGGTGATGGTTGTAGGGAATGAAATCAACCTTCAGCCCTATTCTCCTCTGGTGTGGGTCATCTGAATAAGTTATCATTATTCTGTGACAGGCTCATTAGCTTTCCCAACAGTATACTTTTATAGAACAGCTCTTTTCTGAACTGTTTCAGCATGAACTCCAGGAAATAGCCAGGCTTTTATTTTCATTTGAAAAAATTTTTTTTCCTTTAAAAAATCCTTAATTCCTGAAAGATATTTTAAAATTCCATGAGGACCAAAATGAACTAAAAACAGATTTTATTTTTTCAAGGTTTATAACAATGAAATGTGGCTGGTGCTCTATGCAACCATGAGGCATTGTGAAATGAAGGCAGCCAGATATAATCTCTCAGTAACCCCCCACTTCCCCCTGCAATGGAACCAGCTGTAGGATTCTGGATAAGCAAATGGACTTTCAGGAAATAGCTCCTCGAAATCACATGGAAACAGCACAGTGGAAAAATCATTTCCTTGTGAAGTCTGAGGACACCTCAAATCCCACTTTGGCCACTTACTATCTGGGTGACCTCCCAGGCCCTCTGTTTCCCAATCTGTAAAAAGAGAGGATTAGAGAAATGGCCTCCAAGGTCAATCCCAGGTCTAAATCTACATGACCTCTACAAGGCCAAAGTCAACCTCTCCACTGTAAATGATTTCTTCACATACCACAAACATTGCTCAATTTCTTGTTCAATAAACACTGCCCCCTCCCCCCTCCCCTGAACTCTGTGGCTTGTGCCCAGCTCTGACCTGGTCTTGGCACAGAGTTTAGAGGAGGGCTGATTACTTAATTCAAAAGGATATTAATTTGAATTTAAAAAAAATATTAGAGCTGCCATTTAAAAGAGGTCAACTTCTGCTTTTCCATCCTTCAGGGGCTCCGTCCCTCACCCTATTTCCTTTGTCTCATCTCAAAAGGTCTCCTCCACACCGTTCATGCTAACACACACCTATCTCACACGTATGGACTGGGGAATCCCAAACTCAACGTTTGCAAAACGAAAGACACAGATCTCTATACGTCAACCAGCCCTTAATGTAATTTACCCTTGCAAGATCCTCTATTTCAGAACTGAAGTTTGTTTCTCCTTCCATCATTTCTTCCTCTTCTAATGTCCGTTCATCATCAAAATCATGAACCAGCATGTCAGCTGATGGATCAAATTCATGGTCATCCGATGTTGCTGAACCTCCTGGCAAAGAATATTTTAAAAGTTCTTGGTAAATTAAATCAAATCAGGTACATGTGAGGGACAACATTAAAAAGGAGGGGCTGGGTCTAAGGCAAAGGTGGGCATACCAAAGGAAGAGTTTCTGTTGGGGGCAGTGTGGGATGGGACAGTGGAAAAGGCAATCTATTCTTGGCCTGGCCTTGTCCTCATCCCTGGTGTGACCCTGAGCACGGCAGTGTTCCTATGCGTAACAGGAGGGAAAAGGACCCCAGTGCTGCAGGGGGTCTTCATCAGGCAGTCAGACAGGAGGTCTGAGCAGCTACGAATGGATGGGTTTCTAAGGGTCATTCCACACAGGGCAAGCAGCAAAGTGATTTCAACATCAATCAAAATTACTAAATTACAACTTTAGTATGTACCCTAGATATAGTCTCAAGAAAAGGTGGGATGTGTATTGTAAACACTCGTTGTGGTTTTATGGAATAAGAATGTTATTTTTGAAGGTGAGGATTAAACTATTTCTGATGTTTATGCTAAGATCACAATCTGAACTGGTTTTATTAACCTCAGATATTCCCAACACGGGACTATAGGGGCTAGCAGAAGTTCTGAATCTGGAGGTGTCTCTGGCCACTGAGGAAGAAAGAGGGAGAAGATAGTTAGAAACGCCACCACCGCTCTCTTTCATCATCACCTCTATCATCTCCGCTTCTCTCTTCAGTCACTCCCTCTACTCAATCTTAAAATCATGAAATCAAAACAGATTATAACTAAGTGCTGGGTTTTCTTCACCATCAAAAGCACCCAAAAATAGAGTGGTCACTGAATGAGATTGCAGCTGTTGTTATTAGCACTGGTGCATCCAGGCACAGGTCACGATCAAACCCTGGGAAAGCGGCACAGACTCATTCTCTCTGACTCTCCCTAATCCAGCAATGCTTAGTACAGTGTCGTGAATAAATAACCTATAGGAAAGATGACCAGTCACTGAAAAGAGAGGCAGCTTAGGCCGAGATCTAGCTGAGACAGGACAGCAACGATCCAGGCCTTACAGAGGCATCGTCTAAGCATACACAGCTCATCATATCTGTTAGGATGCCAGGGGCCTCCTACCCTGCCTCCTCTCTTGACTGTCTCCCATCATTTCTGGGGGGCCTACAGTTCTCTGCTTTACCCTACCTTCAGTAGCTCCAGAGTTTTCTGCCTCTCCCTCCTTGGTCCCAGATCATCCTGACCGTCAGTCTCCCTGCTGCCTGGACCAGCATTCAGACCCCAAGTTTTAACCTTTTCATTTCTGGATTTCCTACCCCAGAGGCACTGCAGTCTTGATCAGTGAAGGTTTTATCTAGCTCACCATCTCAGGCAGGGCCCAGATGTTCTCCAGGTCTGAAACCAGGATCAAATGGGGGCTGCCCATTTTCTCCCTTTCACCATCCTTCCCTACCCTGGGTGTATCGTCTCCCATATTAGAACTCTTCAAGGGCAGGGACTGCCTTTACTTGGTATCCTCAGCACAGTGCTTGGCACATGGTACATGCTTAATAAAGGTTTTTGCATTTATTCCTATAGGAAACTCTGGTCAGTCAGGAAATACGGAGCTCTAATGAATCAGGTTTCCCTAGGTAAGACCGTTGCCATAATACACTATTATTTTGTTTCTAACATGTAGAACTGCTAGAAATGAAGACTTTGTGCCTTTCTGTAGATTTTGGAGATGTCTTTCAAACCTTTAGTACAGAACAAGCCATTTACTTATGAGACCAAGTTTCAGATAAACCTTATTTATGCCCTATAGCTTTTGCTGGTGTATTTGAGTCTTCCTGATAATGGGCTGCCTGCTATGTTCCCATACCGAATCATCTGAAAATAATTATTGTCATTAAACTGCACTGTCTTTGCTAGACAGGATCATTTGAAAACTAGTTAGTATTGGGGCTGACCCAGTGTTTAAATGCTACAAGTCATAAGAGACCCCCGGACTAAACAAAGCCCATCATGTGAATTCTGCTCCTTTCTCCATCCACACAACAATTTCCATTAACTAGTTATATATTATGGCTGCAATGACTATAAAAGGCCTCTTTGCCTAAAACATGGCATTACAGAGACGTTCTGGCTTGAGGTCTTTCTGTGCTGACAACATTCTGAATCGCCTCTGAACATTCAAATTTGACATATAAAGCATTCAGGTGAGGACTATAGAAATCCACATCACCACTCATCAGCCTGCTTTCCTTCAGCTATACGTGGTTCAAGCGTCATGGAACTCAGGGAGTGATTTATTAACCTGTGGTTCGCCCTGTTTGATGTGTCTGTGTATTATGTACCTACTACACTCATCAGCTGCAAATGATGTACTCAGCTAAAAAAAGGCTGATGGACTAAAAGGAGCTCATCATTCAGTATTTGAAATGGAGCAATGATGGATTTTAATTCAATATTACTGGTTTAAATGAAAATGGATCTACTTGGAATTATTTCAAAGCTACAACACCACAATAATAGCCCTTCTAGAAACCTGAACCCTAGCTACAAATGACAAAATATTTGAAATTGTCTGTGAGGTGCTAAGCTGTCACAAAACGCATTCCCTTGACAATCTTAGAAAGGCTGAGTGCTTATCTAGGCAACCGTTTAGAAAAGAAGGTAGTCTGAAGTCAGGAGGACCCGTGTACAAATCCGGCCTCAGACCAAACACTTGACACTTACTAACTGTGAGACCCTGGGCAAGTCACTTAACCCCAATTGCCTTAAAAAAAGAAAAAAAAGAAAAGAAGATAGCAGAGGAGAAGCAATACTGACCCTAGGGAGGAGTAACAGATCGCAAGGAAAGAGACAGAGGAACTATTAAAAACAGACAAAAGAACTAGAAAGTCAAAGGCATTTAGTGTACTAGCAAACATCCCGGGAGGCAGTACTACAATGTCTCGTGGTTCAATACTTCAGTCATATAATGACCTGTGCTTCAGGCTACTCTGCTTAATAAGGCAGGAAATAAATGTTACATATGGAAAGAATTTCATTCAAAAGTGTTAAAATGAAAATCTTTTGGTATTTCAATGGATAAAAACTTCAGTTACCTGGAAGATGTATTCATATGGAATACTGCATCTCCCAACAGTGATGCTGTGCCAGTGAAGTGTTATTTATATGGTCTCTTAATATTTCAAAACTTGATTAGAACATCTTAATCTTATGACATAATTGCCAAAGGCAGTTACATAAAATAATCGTAGTTTAAAGTTTAACCTACAAATTCAAGAAAACAGCCTCAATATAATAAAACAAAATACTTCTTTGATTTTTGATCCCAAAAAGTTAGAGCAGGGGGTCTGCAAACTACTGTATGCTTTTGTAGGGCCAACAAGCTAAAAATGATTTTTTACACTTTATAATTTATTTAAACTTTAAATTTCTTTAAAAATATGAACCACCATTCTTAGTCTGGGCTGGTGGACTTGGCCCAAGGCCATTGCAGATTCTTGGTCTAAAGGAAAAGGTAGAGCACAAGGGCTTCATAGCAACCCCATATGGGGTCGCGCCCCACAGTTTAAGAAGGCTGCAGTGGTCACAGGTGGAAGAAGTTTAAGAAGCGCTAATGTAAACAGTGGTGCAAACTGCTTCACTCTTACTTTTAAGGTTCACTGGAGAAACAAGTACAATGTTACCAACACAAAGAATAAAGTAAATGCAACCAAGATGCTATATTCCAATGTCATCTTGTCAAGAATTTCAAAGACAGAATAGAGGAGTGAAAGAGAAACATTCTAACAAATGGATTCACTCTATCCTGTCCGGGCACTCCTGTCAGACTCACGATGGACCCTGAAATCAGTGCCACAGGGGGTAGCCCCGGCACAGCTCAGGAGGCCAGAGCAAGCAAGCTTAGAATGTCTGACTGTCCCTTCAGCAGCCTGGGCCTGGGCCTGCCCACAATAAGCTTATACTTGAGCTATTATCAGCATTAACATCACCGACCCCTGGGGTATCCAGATCAACTTTGTAATGATTTTGTTAACAGAAGATGGGCTCCCAACAGATTTTCTAATCACCGGAATGCCAGAAATGCCAATCGTCATAGCTGAAACACCCTACATGCCGTTATTCATTTTGCTTTATCATCACCTCATTGCACAACTGTCCTTTGTTCTATTTATTATAAAAAGAACAGAGTAGGTGAGCAATAAAAAAATCCCCATTTTATCCTTCTTAGCCTAAAGGCAGGCAGGCAGGGTTTAAGGAATTGCCTTATTCCTTGGGTCTGTCAAATACTGACTTAGAAATTCTACCTATCCATCTGTCCTGTTTCTTACTTGCCCTAATACAAGTGTCAGCTGGGGGATAAAGGTGGGGACACTGGGCGCCCTGCTTAGCCAGGATGTCCCATGACTGTTTCATTTGACTGGTAAGGAAGGCCCTCCAGGTCCCTCTCTGAGCAGCAGAACAGGCCTAGACAATATAAGAGAATGACTTTTTATTTAGAGGAAGACAAGAGGACATGTGGCCGCTGCTTATAATTACAGGCAGTCCCCAAGTAACAAACAGGCACCATGTTCCAAGTGTGTTCCTGAGTTGTTAGATAAGAACACATCTCATTGAAACAATGTTCAAAATGATGGCTAGGTTTCCAGGCTAGCACTGCAAGATGAGAATGGGATGATGATGACAGCTAACATTTGCACTTGGGGGTTTGCAAAGCCCTTGCATACCAGCACAATACTGTATTTACATTAGAAGTAACAACTCACATTTATCAAGTCTTTTCAAAGCACTCTCTTCACAATCACCCGGTGAGCAAGGCAGTACCAGATGAGCCCCATTTTCCAGACTAAGGCCCTGAGGCTCCAGCAAGTGACTTGTCCTCCAAGTCACTGGCAATGGGTTTAGGTAGGTCAGGTTAGGAAAACGGGATGGGGGAGGGCAGAGAGAATAGAGGCAAGATCCCTGGGATCCTAAGATAATCCAGGAAAAACACTTTGCAAACTTTCAAATGCTGTATGTATCAGTTATTACTACTACTACTACAATTATTATAGTTCTACAGTGAAAATCACTGTACAATAGACTATATTATCAGCATGCCATTGACTCAGCTTTCATAAAACCTAAAGAAAAAAGTGGTTGGACATGCAAGACTAGACTTCTCTCTACCCAACAACATACTCAACACCAATCTGTGAACAATTCCCTAGGATGCGAAGAACCCACAGAGGTTACCGAAGTGGGCAAAAAGTGCATTCTACCTTCTGGCACCGGGCCTCAATTCGAGCTTGCTTCTGGGACTTCACCCCCTGCTCCTCATTTCTACCCTCTTCGATCCCACATAACAAAGCTAATCCATTTTAAAAGTTAAAAAAAAAAAAATTTGTTTTTTGGCTAGGCAATGGGGTTAAGTGACTTGCCCAGGGTGACACAGCTAGTGAGTGTTATGTGTCTGAGGCCGGATTTGGACTCGGGTCCTCCTGAATCCAGGGCCGGTGCTCTCTCCACTGCGCCACCTAGCTGCCCCTAAAAATAAAAATTTCATTTAGATCTTTTCTCCCCCATCCCTGTCCTATCTGAATGACTTCATCTTCACCACAGAACCATTACTAGTAACATGAACATTTAGCTCAGCAAAATGAACCCACACTCCAGCCATGTGTGACAACACAGGCCTCACTTGGTCGCCCAAGGCTCTGCAATCTAGTCTCTTCTCCAAATGACAGTCTTGACAACGTCTATCGTGTCCTCCTGAGATGCCCAGTTTCGTCTCAGTCCTTACATGGAGTGATATCCTAAGGCCCCTTCTCATCTGGTCCCTCTTCAGGTGATGGAGGGCTCTGGATAGACTTTTGCTCATTTTATATATACATACATACATATATATATATACACACACACACATTTATTCTCTCTCCTTCATTTTATCTTAGTTGTGTCCTCCTATTGGTAGATGCTGTCCTCAAAGGCCTGACTCGGTTTTCTAGCAGGTAAAGGAGCTCTGGCCTCCCCCAATATTCCGGCACAATCTTTAAGGGAAACCCTGCTCTCTCTCCAACACAGGCAGGCCAGGCCAGGCCACACTAAAGTCAACTTCATGACAGCAGGATACACAAAGATGTGCTGGGATGCTCACACTCCTCATACTGTCTCTGGGAGCAGTTGGGGCCAGACTCTGCTAGGGATGCACTTGTGCCCCTCAGGCACAGCGAAGTCACCAGGGTCCCAGGGAGGCCTCCCCGCTCCAGCTGGAGCTGGCACTTGACTGGCCTAGTTTTAAGGGTCCAGCATCAGCACCACCACACAAACATGCCATGAGAAAAGGACTTTGGGGGAATGTAACTTGCAGAAAACCGCAGGTACTGATTAGAGCAGCAGTCAAGAGAAGGACAGTGAAGCAAACAGAAACATCCTGAATTTTCTTTCTTCACCCCCCCCACCCCATTCTACCTTTTCCTTAGGGAATGTGGAGAGATGAGCAGTAGAACATCTTTCTGCATTTCCCCAAACCTCTAATTTTACAGGTGGAGCTAAGCTAAGCATAGAAATTCTTTACGTAGCCTGGAAGCTAGGAGGGGGAATTGGGCTCTCACTCTATTGTAGAGGGGGGTGCAAGGGGGTCTCAGGAACAATCCAAGTGGAACTCAGTGACTTATAAAAGACCTGATACTGCCACAATACACTCATCTCAGACTTCTTAGATTATGAGATTTTCTCTCCTTTCCTCCTATCTTGGGTTAAAAATGTGTCTCTCTTCTGGGATGAAAATTTCTCTCTGACATTACATGTCTTCTAGCTCCAGCTTCACCTATTTTATATTTTTAGTATTTTAAGTGTTAGAAATCTGGATTGTTATTTAGCAAAAACTCTCAAGCACAGCTGTAACTCCAAGGAGAGAGATAAAGAGTGTCCAAAAGCAGTTAGGGGATGAATTGCTGGAAGCCTCACCTTACCTCTCATACCAAGGCTAATATGCTAGGACTTGTTTCTATATATTAACAAGAGAAAAAATATGTGCAAAGCAAGAAAAGAAGCAATTCAAAGGATAATCACATTCCTCCGGGTTTCAGTTAAATGTTATGCAGGATATTGAGAAAGTTAAACAAGCAGGATAAAAAATATTTACCTGGGCTTGAAGACTCAACAGAAGGCTAAGGGAAAAAAAGGAAAAAAAATTAGCATTTTTCTAGAGATACATATGTGTATATATATGTTTTTACAAATACAAATATAATAGGATCTAGTCTCAAGGATAGAATTACAAGATGTTACATGAGTATTACATTTCTTTCCAAAGCTCTGAATAGGTTAAGAAACACTAAAACCTCTTATATAATTGTATCCTAGCTGCTATATTTAGCCAAGCTAAGGGAAAATGCACCATTTTGGGAATTTTAAAAAAATTCCTGAGTTTAGAAACTAAGCCCAAAATGTAATATGGTTTCAGATTATTCAAGAAGCAAAGACAGACTCCTCTAATTACATAGGTACAATGTAAGATATTAAAATCTAAAATCATAATGTTGCCTATGAATTTGGGGGGAAAAGCAGAGGTAGGTCAATTTCTGGCTCATCAGTTGGGAGACGAAAGTACTTAATGTCAAATATTTTATTTTAAACAACAGTGAACTGGTAGAAAGTATAGAGAAAAATGCAAAATTGGTCATAGAATAAATAAGTCACTATACTCCCTGTTAGGTTTACTAGTCCTGGTTTCTGTGCCCTTTAAGTAAACTATAATCTAAATTTACATCCTCTTTCCTAGCATACCTGTAACAATTCAGAAAGAGTAGACATTTTAGATACGAAGTTGGACAGCAACACGTAGAGTAGCTAAAGCCACTCTCCAACCCGTTTTTCTACCTAGGTTTTAACCTGTATTTGAGGTTGCAATGAAACCTCTTTCAGCAGGCACCTATTTAGATGATTATGTTTACTGCTCTGCATTTGTTACCAGCTTTTGTTTAGGAAAAATGAATACAAAATGTTAATAGTTGAACCACCCCTTCAAATTGTACTATGATTTTTGTATTAATTTTTCAAATTAAAAGCTGCATTTTTCACAAGAATTTGCTTGGGGAAAGGGCCAAGAATGGCCAAGACAGGAATGAAGGATTTCAGTCTGGAAGGGCCCTTAGGAGGCGCCCCTCACCCAATCTTACAGATAAGGAAACAGAAACACAAGAAGCCAGTGCCTTGCCCAAGACCACCCAGCTGGGGCAGTGACTGATGCTTCTGACCAGGCAGAGTCCAAGTCTTCCAGGGCTTCTCTCATGGTGTCACACCACCAATCTCTGAAGAGGTGGGCACTGACCCCAAACCAGAGAGGTGACCTACAACCTCTTCACAGGCAAGGCTGGCCTGACAAACCAAGCTGCCCAGGTCAACCAGAGCCACCTGCAAACTCTAGGTGGTTCCTCAAAGTTCCCTTCTCTTTCCCACCAAAATACACATAAAGAGATCTGGCCTTTGATGCCTCCAGCCAGCATTACAAATGACCGGTAGGTAAGTATGGGCCCTTGTTGGGTTGGGCCCCCCCCCCCCCCCAACCTTGGGAGGGAGGGACCCACTGCTACCCCCATTTAAAGATGAAGAAAGTGAATTTGAGAAAGGGTTAAGTCACAGACTCACATTTGTGTGAGGCAGGATTTGAATTTAGGTCTCCTGGCTGTAAGGCCTACCACTGCTCTGCCAGGACACCTAGCTGTTTGTGTGCAATACAATTGTTCTGACTGGGAAGGAGGCTTCTCTTCAAAAAACAGTCAAGATCTGTACCCGAGGTGCATGGAGGTAGTAGAGAAAGTTACTGACTGAAATAATTATAAAAGGATATCCAGCTGCTTATGTTTCCAGGAGGGCCCTACGTTTCTAGCTGAAAATAGATTTACCCATCACACCAATTGTCGTCACAGTCCCAATCAATATTTTAAAGAATAAATCACCGTGTACATGCATTTAGACTCTGCCTGCTTATCTCTCTCTGGACTCAGGTCTGCTAGCTACCAAAAGAAGCCAATTATGGGTGTTGTTCTCTTTTTAGTAACTTTCCAAGCAGCTCAAGCTTAATTAATAAGAAAACTGGAGTTCTGGATAAAGCAGAAACTTGAAAGAAATACTTCTGAAATAATCAATGACAGCCTCTCCCTCCCCCCATCACAATTTTCCTGCAATAGCCCTTTGGTAGAAGAGAAAAGCATAACAAATCTTACAGAAATAGGTCTGTACCGATATTAAATATGGAATAAAGCATAGGTATCAAAAATTTTTTTTGGGGGGGCAGGGACAGACTGTTTAACAGGGTTTGTAAAATGGATAGAACACTATACAAGTACAAATAAACTCCAACAAATTCTATGGTATCTGCAAATTCATTATGGGATGGATGGGGCCTCCCTGAGGCTCAATTTCCTTATCTGAGAGTTGGGGCTACCTCTCAAGTCCCTATCTTTCGGGGCTGGAGTCAGCTGAGTGAGATAACAGCAGCAAAAAGCGGGTATGCTAGGTGCTTAATCAGCCTGGCGTTACTAGCTTTGCTGAGAGCCAAAAGAACAGAAGTGGGACAAATGTCCTCTTTGCTCTGAAGCTCTGATTTGGGGAACCAGTGGGGTCATGGAAAGGAGACTTGGGGCCCGGGGTAAGGGGTTACCTATGTGACCCTTAAGTCACACTCCCTGGGTTTCAGTTTCCATAGCTGTAAAATGAGGCTGTTGGATGGGATGGTCACCAAGGGTCCTCTTTCCAGGTCTAGACCAAGGATCCTGTGACGTGGGAAGTGGGTGATCGTGAGGCAAAGCTCGTCACTGAGAAAAGGTCCTCCCTCTCCTTTCTCTGTTAAACGAGGGCTTCTCGGACTGAAAAAAACAGCCACCTAAGTCTTCTCCAGTTCTTCCATAGGGGCTCTAGGTAGCTTTGTTTCTAAAACTGTTTTTGCCTGGAATTTCCCCTTATGCGTTCTTTTTGACCAAGTGCCCATGAAGGAAATTTGTTAACAAAATCACAACCCTTTGAGTTCTGAAAAACACAAATGCCTGCTACACATGATACTACTTTTGGCAGTCTGAGATCTCCTCCAGTACTCTTCCAAAGGTTCAAATCACAATCCTCTCATGTCCTTTACCTTGGGTCTCTTGGCTCTCTCCTTCAATAAACCCTTCTAAGGGAGTCCCTAAAAGGACAGCACTATCGCCCACAGCAGTCCAGCCTACTTTTCTTTCTTATATCTCACCCTGGGCCCAGCACCTAGTCTGCCCACCCTTCTTAGTGCCTGTCCAAGCTAGATGTACTGACGGACCCACTGCACGGAAAGAACCCAGCAATTCTCCTCCCCTTGGGTTTCCTAAGGCAGAGCAGAGCAAGGCCCAACACCCAAGCCATTGGACCAGGCTTTCCTCAAGTTCTCCTAGGAGTCATGTGAGCAGCAGAGTCTAGATCTCTATAATGAGCCGTCTTATAGCAGTGATCCATTTAACACACTGCTATAAAATGAAATAAAATTTAACTGTCAGATGGGTGAATTAATAGATTTATGAATACTATGTATCATTTAATTTGAAATTACCAGGTTTACCAAATTCAATTTGAATGGTCTCTTGATTAGTTTAAAACCAGAAATAGTTTTAAGATCTGAACTTCAGAGATAATGCTTTAAACAGAAGCTGAAAAAAATTCTCACATAAAATAGAATTTGGGGTGAATTCTACAATAGCCTTGAGAATGAAATTCCACGAGGTTTCTTTTTTTCTTTTATATTTAAAATGTGAGGCCAGGTGCCATACTACTTAGCATTTCTGAAGGTTAATGACGTCACACTGGGTACTGGTTCCTGTCTATACCCCCAACGCAAAACCTATGCCTGCCACCAATAAAGTTCAGCTGCAGACATTTAAAATGAGAAAGAAAAAAAAGATTTCATCAACAGTGTTACGTAATTACAAATGAATTCTGGTAATAAAGTATTCTTTTCCTCTTAGTTGAAAAACAGTGACAGAAAAGGAAGTGTACTTGTTTGAGCGATTAAAAACCTTCCTCATAACAAGAAGACCTGGGTCCAAGTCCCAGTAAAACCTGTATGACCCTGAGCAAGTCACTTATCTTTTAGGCTCTAGGCAGCTCCCTTAAGAATAAGCTGAAAATAGGGCAGCTAGGTGGTACAGCAGGTAGAGCACCTGCCCTGAAGTCAGGAGGACCTGAGTTCAAATCCGGCCTTGGACCAAACACTTGACACTTACTAGCTGTGTGACCCTGGGCAAGTTACTTAACCCCAATCGCCTAAAAAACCAAAAACAACACAAAAAAAACCAAAAACAAAACAAAGAAAGAATAAGTTGAAGACATGGCTTATGTGGAAATGTGTATGACTTCACACATACAACCAATATCATATTGCTTGCCTTTCCTATGGGTGGGAGAGAATTTGGAACTCAAAATTTTACAACATGAAAGTTAGAATTTCTTTACATGTAACTGGGAAATATTTAACGAAATAAAAATATATTAAAAAAAGAATACGTTGCACAGAAGGTGCCAGCTTGCATTAAGAGAGGCAATTTCCCAATAGGAGCTACCTTGGCTGGCGGGGCCATTCCCATCAAGGAAACAGCTCTAGTCCCTATTTCTTTTGTGCAGCCCCGTAGGTAGTTCTTTTTATGACGGGTATTAAATATCTCCCCGCTGGGGTGTGTGTGGGGGGGGGTCGCCCTCAGGCGGAAGGATTTTGTTGGTGTAGGTGTTCCCTTACTAAGATTTTAACCCCCTTGGCACAGAGTTGCTCTGGCTAAAACGATTCATGCCCCTGGTGAGCAGCTCTCCCCACTTAGCAAGGCTGCTTAAGACTTCAGACTCCACACAGGCCATCACCCAGCTCAAAGACTTGCCAGCTAAGTAGGACCTGCCAGATCTCAGACTTTTCTAATGCCTTCGGGGAAATGTTTCCAATGACAGAAAGATATAGCTATCGTTAAATTAATAAATTAACTAGTTTATTGCTTTTGTGGATGATAAATACAAAATAAGAACAAAAGCCCAAACCACCAGAGGCACTCAGTGGTCTACCCACTTTGCAAACATCCGTATTTCTGACTAAAGTCATGCTAAAAACCCTGGAATGAGCCTGGGCTCCTCTCACTCCCATTCACTGAAATAGTTAGGATCT